CGGAAGTGACGAATTATTTTCAAATGAGATTTTTTAAAGCTCATTTTATATTTTTATTTCTTGGGTGCAATAACAATCTGTATCACGGAACTGAACAAATATGTATTCTTCCACATTGAATGAACAGAGGATCTAACTTCTTTGTTTTTATAAGAACAATATCTCCTGAAATACCAGTCTCCGCTGGCTTATTTAGTCGTAGTAAGTCTACGAGTAGAGTCGAGGACCTACCAAAGCAGGAACTCCAGTTCGAATAAAAGATATTTATAAGTTCTATTTACTTCTCATGCATAAACCTAAACAAATGAACTTGTTACACAAGAAATGCATAATAATATTCTGTGAAATTATATTACAGTGCCCATATATCTTTACAATCACAGCACAACATAAACAACATAAGCAATGTGATTTATATCATGTTTTCAGTGGTGCATTTTGATTGTATTTAAAAAAATAAACTGTATAAGCATTGTTAATATGTTAATTTTTAAATACTGAAAGGGTTGACTATATAATATTTGAGGATATAGAGTTGTCTTAATCATTTTCCGTTGCGTGACCGAAAGTGGGCGCTAGTTGCCATCGGCTGAGGTCGACGGAAGTGAACGATTTCTTTGTCCGCCATAATTAGCCTCTTACGGCGTACAGTCACACACAAGCACAGACCATCGTGTTGATACGGTCGGATCGTTTTAGACGGCTGTCAACGATGTGATGGCCACTCAAGTACAACCCTAGCTGCAACTGCCTCTAGTTTATTCGTAAGATTTTATGGAAAATGTATTATTAACAAAAACATAAAAAAAATAGCATATTTTTATAACATTATAATTTTTTTAATTATGTTCCTGGTAATCGCGCCGGGATTATTTATTATTCGTCCGGATAAACATCTTATCCCCGTAATGTATAAATTGCGTCGAAAAATTTCTAACACGTAAATCTTCTCGGGCAACATAAACTTTTATAGCGTTGGAAATTTAAATGGTGTGGACTCTTACAGGGCAGTAAAACCTGCTTATATCTCTGTCACGCGACTGCAGTAATATTTTATTTATAAATCAATTAAGACAGTATAAAAAAGTTATTATTTTACTATTTATTTAGGACTTAATCATAACTAAAATATCTATGTATATAGTATAATTATATCGATAATATCTACACATAATAATTAAATAAAATCATTATCTTGTGACTGTGTTAAATATTAAGTAATAACCATTCGCTGAACTAGGAGCCAAGGAGTATGGTACCTCATTAAGGGTCAGACAATTAAATTTTATGATTACTGATTGCTCAAATCATAATAAACGCATCCGAAACCCTTTTATATTGACACAACGTGTAAGACTAAAAAATTGTGAAGCCACTGAAGCATAATTATGCTTTAAAACTAAATGTATTAATTTGCGCTTATTCGGAAGAACGAGAGTTACTCAACGTCGACAACATAACATTAGCGAGGCTTGTGCTGGTTCGCAAGCAGTGGCGCAAGTCTTCGATGACATCGTTGCCTAGATTTAAGTGGCACCGAATTATGTAACGCGAGAACAACGAATGAATCGAGGTCGCGTTCGACCGCGGTGCGTTCGGAAGTACGTTACGTTTCGACACTGGATTTTGTAGATTCTATGAATCTGGGCAGAATTTTTTTTTATTTTATATTGTTACATGTTTTTTATAAACTCAAGGAAAAAGAACAAAATTCATTTAATTTCAATTATATACATGTAATATATTATGTATATTTGTATTTTTTAATCAGATTGTTGAAAAATCGTTTGTGCATATTTTTGTTTGTGTATATGTTTCTTTTTTGAAAATAGATATTTAGCACGATTGAATTAATTAACTCACATATGATGTAGGTAAAAATTGCTATTCTTACCGTATTCAGGATTGAATCACATATTATAAAACAGTAGCTGTTCCGTGCGATTCCATCCCCGAGAAACGTTTCTGCTTCGCCCCCGTAGGTCGTAGCGTGATGTTAAATATCCTGTAACTTTCCTCAAGAATTGGGGTATCAGTAGTTCCAGAGATTAGCGCGTTCAAACAAACTTTATTATATCATATAGATTATTCTGGAATTGAATTTATAGTATACATTTTACCTCATTTCGTATGGAATTCTTATTTAATTAATTTAGGAAGCGAGAAACATGTGTATAAGATATTTTTATTTTATCGGGGATTGTAGCTTAAAAATGATAGTTGAGATAATCACATACAATTATAATATATATAATTTCGAACAGCATGGCCTTTTCTGAGTAAGTCGTATGTCATCATCATTTTGGGCAAATAACTAGTATAGTAATTCCTTTTAAGTAATAAATAACACCTATCTTCGTTTAGTAAACGCAAAACTAACGCCGGAATAATATCGCCCATGATCCAGGTCAGTACACAGGAAGTGCTGCCATTTCCACGCTCTTGCAATTTGAAATGCTACGACATCCGGTCCAGACCGTTTGTGGATCACATAAGACACTAATTTTAATTTAACTACATTTTCTCTACTAATGATGAGATTGTTCAATAAACAATCGGTCAGAAGAAGACGCTTTAGACTACATTATCGATTGGATTTATAAAGAGTTTTTAAAACTTTCCAAAACATTAATTCGACAAATAATGGTATTAAACAATTAATTAAAATATTCATATGAATAACGGAAACTCAACAGCTTTTTAAGAGAAAATATAGTAGCAATATTCACCACATTAAAACAGCAAAACCTTCACATACAAGTCTTAATATTTATACATAAAGTTAACGCTTTGACGATCTATATCTTGATATAAAAATTTGACGATCTATATCTAATAAAATATAATAGATATAAAAATAAAAAAAATAAAAAATCTGCAAATTACCCAGATAACTCTTTAATTTTCTGCTATAGCTTCAGCATCCAACCTTGGTCCTATAAAAAAGTCTTCCTAAGGGCACGTGAGGAATTTCTTATCACAATGATTCGCAAAGTAGATTTTAATAATGCGAGAAAATTCCACCCCCTTTTTTTATAAAATCCCTGTGCAGCCGTATGAAGGAATTGTCGTAACATGCAACCTTGAACTACACAGCACATGTAAGGTTACATAATGTAGTTCAGCCGAAGCCAGTCATCCGTGAGGCTATATATGTGTTGGCTCTCACAATATCTCATTTTCGAACTAAGCTTTTCTCAACCCTTCACTCTTACTGACGAACTGTTTATTTATAAAACACTAGATAAAAATATTCTTTTTTATTTTTATAGACAAAGAATTACATTACTTTAAAAAAACAGTATTAGAAGTAAATAGACACTAAAGAACTATTAATTGGGAGTTAAAGTACTTGTTAAGAACTTTATTCAAATTACTATTTCCATAAAATCATTTCGTCAGCTATTATTTTTACCTCATTAATGGTTTTAATTGTACACTTAATTACTGTATTTTAAACTGTAACGATTGTACTGTACTGACTCCACGTTCCGTATTGTAATCGGATTACGTCGTTGACGGATGTCAGTTAGCTTCCTCCCCGGAGTTCCTGTTCCGGGTGGCGGACATTAGCGGAAGTCGAGGCAGAGATTCGCACGTCCCTTCCTCCCCCCATGACCCTCTCGTTTCCGGTAACCCGATGCGACCGGTTTTTAATTTCCTTCTCTAACTGGAACTAATTTCCTTTTGAGAAAACTTTACTGGACAAAAAATTCATTTTATATAAATAAGTCGTTGTATTAAGTTACGATCATTTTTATTTATGTAGAAATCAATCTTTGTGAATTCTTGTTGGGAGATGGATATTTACAGATGAACTATATAGCTTATATACAGCGTGTCGTTACCATCGCGACAATAAATGAACACACGTCTAACGCTACTTGCCAATAATCATAAAAAATATTAACGTTAAACAAAATCCATTATTAAAAAAAAATATTTTTCAAACAAACTAATTAAGTAAAAATGAAACAAAATTTGTAACATCCTATACAACTCGCGCCATAGCGTCGCATTACAAGCCGCTCCTTCTAACAGTATTTTTTGTCTCTTTAAAATTCATTCAACCCATTCATATGCTTTGTGACCTTTACAAATGAACTTAACGTTAGGCTTTTATAGGTAAGGGTGTTCTAAAATTCTTTGTTTTGGAAAATTTAATAACTCTGTAAATATTGATGTTTAAAGAATTTAAATGTTTAATACAACTTTAAAAAGTTATCTCCTATATTTGTGTTCATTTATTGTCGCGATGGTAACGACACGCTGTATATAGCTAAAAAGATGTATACATATAATATAAATGTATATAGTCACATATATTTTTAATTCTTTCATATAGGATACAAGTATTACCAATAACAGTGTAGTTTTATGTTCTCTCCAGTAAACATAGGGAACGAAGTGTTAAGAAAAAAATATCTAGATTTAATGCGCGAACTAACACGGGCAGGTTGTCTGTAACAGACTACGTACATATGCCGCTCACGCAATGAACTTATTTCGGGCACTTCCGCATGTTCAGATTGGAGCTCGGCCGCACGTCGCATTCCAGCCAGCCCGCCACGCACCTTCGGCTAAATAATAATTCCTCTATAGCTCACATTTGCCCCCGACTACATTATTAAAAGGACAAATAGTATTAAACCACTCCGTCTCGATTGTATCGATTACCGATTCACCAAGCATTCTAACGTATAATTTCCATTCAATCAATATTTGCGTTGAATAATTTGTGTACATTTTAACAACAAAATTCAAGACAGATTACGCGTCTGCATTTCTAAAAATAAACGACAATTAACAGCACCCCTCCATTTAAATTACGACACAACGAAGCGATAATTGCGAAGGAAAAAAAATACAATCGTAATAGACAATCAGAGCGATCGCGTCTTATTTGAAAGATCGACAAAGAAAGTAGCGGCGATCTGCGGTCACGGTCACCACGTACGGTTCAACATCGCAGTGTTTTATTTTTCAAATTACACCACAACATGAAACTACTCAAGGTTTGGCCGGAGCTACACCAACATGGGCGTCCGTTGTGCGTTAGAGCGGGAGGGCATGAGGCGGGAGCGAGGCGAGCGAAGGGAGCAACAGGTAAAGATTCCGAGGCCACTTCCGCCTTAGCTGCCGAATATTTCTGTCTCGAACCGGTAGTGGGCCAGTGGCCAGGGCGCTCTCGAACACATTCCCACATACCTAAAGGATTGTTTTTACGTACAGTATGCGTTTACGAAATACATCGTGCAATGTGTGTACATCTTACTGATTAACGTTGGTTTGACGACTCCATAATCTGCAACATTTTGTTAGTACGATCGTTTGTACATTGTACTTGTGAATCAAGGAAAAGTCAAAGTGAATTAGATGTATCCGATTTATTCGAAGCTTATAATTTTATTAATATCCGAGAAAAATAGACTGTTTCTTGATATGTCAAAAAATATGTTGTGCGAGCTTACATTTTTCATAAAGGTGTATATATGAAAGTTTACATCGACTAATAGCTTTAGTCATTTCAGGAAGCTAAAATCTATATAATTAAACAGATATACCTATCTATATGTTAGCAATATAATCATGTTGGTAGTCGAATGAGCTCAACTAAAACCGGTTGACGCTGATATTGTCTCACTCTGCACCAGGAAACTGGCGGGTGACTGTTCAGACATTTCCTGTGTTCGATCATCGTGGGCAGTAGTAGCGTATCCACATTTTTGTGATATAGGACAAGTTTGCGTACCTTTAAAGTAAAAATTCGTTGTTTTTTTAATTAATAATAATGATATGTCATCGTCTATGTTGCCTTTGTATCTCAAAATAAATCCTGCTATTATGAGTCTTACGTGTTAAAAACTTTAATCATCAGTGTAAACATAAATTATAGCTTCATTTTCCTAGTAACAAGCACAAGAATTTAAGAGATCACAAATATTATCTTACTGGCCGTATCGCACTGCCGGCAGCATAGGTACAAACAAGGAAATATTGCGAGTTATTAAAAACTGGCGCGCTGACGTAATCTCAACACTATTAGCACTTCCGCGTGCCCTAGGCGGACGCAGGTCTTCTATCGTTAGAATACTGTTTCCACCTATTTCATGCGCTTGACGTTCGACAAGTGAGTGTAATTTCTCGATTATCGGCGATAACGAACACCGATAACGGTTTACGCTAGCGGAAATAATGTTCGTACTTGCGTATAGTTAAAAATGGGACGCGGTCTCAGTCTCGGCTCCCGAAGTTTTATCTCATTCTCCGCAATATTATGTGTGGCGACATGGCGCGGGGGCGAGGCGCGCGCGGGGCGGTGGAGGGGGCGCGGTGGGCGCACGTCCGTCCTCCCGCGCCGCCACCGCATCATCAGTCCGCGTCGGAGAGTTGCCCGCGACGCTTGTCTGCGAGCTCGATCCCTCAGATACGCTGCTGGTTTACGGCGTGCCGTAACACGACACGTTTGGAGGGACCGCCGCTGCTTTGAAGTGTGCCTGGTGCTCTGTGAACTGGATACTGTGCTTCTAGTGTTTGTGACAATGTATGTGTGCTGAATTGTCCTGTTCCCGTCTACCGCTTGTAGGATTTTTTTCGACGACGCGCCAAGTTCCGGATCAGCTCAGTCGGTGAGTAGCAGCGCTTATCACTGGCCGCGCTATCTTGCATTCACGCATTTCCGACCCCGTCCGATAAGAACTTGATGCCTTCAACATACATGCCGCAACTGATTCCGTAATTCTTACCGAATCTATTACCAATTTCTTATGAAAATACTATAAAAACTGAAAATGGGCAATAAAAAAATTATGAATCTGCGGTTTCAATGATTATTTGTATTATTGTTTTTTTACTCAGACACTACAGCTTCCGTAGTTTTTTCTATTGTCAAAATGCGTATTGTAAATACATATACTCTAGTAATGGGTAAAGTCATCAATATAAATTTCATACTTTATGTACCTACAGACATATGTCCATGGGGAATAGTGCCCTACCACTATCACGCACGTGCAATAATGCACCCTTTATTTTTTTCTCGCGGACGTTCCCCTGGGTTTAGATGTTCCATTTTAATAATAATCCGTCCCCTTCATTACAATGACACATTCATCCCTGCACCATTTACTGTAGCTCAGCAGGTGCTTCTATTATAAGAGAGATCTTATACAATAACCGAGTAAAATTGTATCATTTATTTAGCCTAATTATTGTTAACTTCGTTACCTATGGTAAAAGTATTTTAATCTGCATTTGTCTTTTCTTACAATTAACACTTGTGGATTTTAAACTTTTTTGAAGCGCTATTTATTAATATGTAACATAATTTAACATATACATCCAGTTTAAAATGCAGTACAAAAAAATCTCTTTTGCACCTCATTGTTTGTAGCTTTTGACTGATACCTAAAAACCTGAATACTATAATAATAGAACAATAGAAAACTCAAAACCACTACAAGATATTTGTCTGGACTTATCCATCAAGTTTTAAAACTAAAGTACAAAAAATTATACTAATTAAAAATATTAATTTCGATGAAGATTATCATTACACGTAACATTTAATTCTCAACACAGCAACGCCATCTATTGTCGAGTAGCACAAACATGCTTCATAATACTGTTATACGATATAATGTAAATATTACTTTACAGATTACCGTGATGAAAGTAGTGAGTTTACAATTGCCGTCGGGGCCGAGTATGGAGCGGTTACCGCTGCCATTTAGTCCAACGGAACTGTTGTGGCGGTACCCTTTACCTTGGGCGCCACCGCCCCCATCGCCTCTTGGCGACACAAAGGCGCAGCTACCGGCTAGCCTACCACCAGAACCACGATTGTGGACAAGGGAAGACGTTGCAGTTTTCTTAAAATGGTGCGAGAGGGAATTCGACCTGCCAAACTTCGACATGGATCTCTTCCAAATGAATGGTAACTGCCACACTATCATACAAAACCTTTACGATATTTTTTTTAATATCGCATATACGCATTTGTATCAATTAACTTAAGCGAATCGTTAAAGATAAATTAATTGCAGAATTGTTTGTTGATGACAAATTGTTATTTACAGGGAAGGCACTGTGCCTGCTCACAAAGACGGACTTGGGCGAGCGTTGCCCGGGGGCGGGCGATGTTCTGCACAATGTCCTCCAAATGCTAGTGCGCGACGCCGCGCTGCTCGGGAGGGTGCCTTCTTCGCCGGTGACGCCGACGGCACGTGCGGCGCCCTATCCCCCATCGCCGCACTCGCACCCACCTACCCCCACGTGGGCCGTGGACGGCTTCCACCACTTCCATAGTGCGGCGGCCGCCGCGGCCCAGCCCAACTCCGTCACGCTGAGCCCAGCGCCGTCGGTCGACAGCTCCGGGAGCCCCCAGAGGGGGGAGACTCTGGGCTACGCTTCAGCGTACGCGCCCCCCGTCCCAGTGTCGGTCCAAGCGGCGAGCTCCGGAAGCAACCATTCAGACTCCGACGAGGAGAACCACTTCGTGCCGCCCCCACGCTCGCCGAAGGACACTCCCCTCGCGAGTCCAGCGCCACAGACCCACTCCGCTCCACAGCACACGCACTATCGGGCGCAACACAGGGAATTCTTCCCTAATGATATGCCCGAATCAAATACAAGTAAGTAACCATATGATTTTGAAGATTTCGACTTGTGCATTTCATATTAAAAATAAAGAAAGAAAGATATTCACTAATTAATATATGACTTCTTTGTTGTTTCAGATGGTAGACTGCTGTGGGATTTCTTGCAACAATTGTTGAATGATCCGACACAGCGGTACACGAATTACATTGCGTGGAAGAACAGGGACACTGGAGTTTTTAAAATTGTGGATCCGGCTGGACTGGCCAAGTTATGGGGAATACAAAAGAATCACCTGTCAATGAACTATGACAAAATGTCGCGTGCGCTCAGATACTACTACCGTGTCAACATTTTACGGAAAGTTCAAGGGGAGCGTCATTGTTACCAGTAAGTATTAAACACCCACAATAGACATCGGAAAAAAAATTCAAACTAATAAACACTAGTAAACTACTTTTCCTTTCACATTTATAATTGGTTTCACAATAAATTATCTACTAGAAAACGACTGAAAAAAATTTTTCATTTTATTTTGAAAATAATTTGGGGCCAAAGGCCCTCCACTCCTTTGTTGCCCCGAGGCCTCCAGACCTCTTAATGCGGTCCTGTCAACGCCGAACACATGGTCAATTGGAACTTAAAATTTCAACTGACGGTTGTTCAATTGGTGTCGTTTTAAGTTAAAATTCCATTCGAACTCTGCTAAAGTAGCATTGTTAGCAAGCGCCCGTTCATTGAGCTATTAATAGGTACTTTATTAATATTCCACTTCCTCTTGCAGATTTCTCCGGAATCCTACGGAACTTAAGAACATAAAGAACATCTCTCTTCTGCGACAACAAATGAGTCCAACAAGGGTGGCTCCTCAGCCGGTGGTGAAAACCGAAATGAAAGAGGAGCGTTGCGAAGACGAGCACATTGAGGAAGACATGCCTACTGATCTGAGTATGGCCGCGTCGGAGCCGTGGAGGAAACGGGCGCGCACGGAAAATGCGCAGTCCGCCCCCACTCACGACAAGCACCGGATCAGTGCTCTAATTGGCGACAGCATGATGTTGAAACGCGAATCCGAATACAACACTGAACATTATGCCCTCAATTTAAAAAGTGAAAAGTGTGAACAATGATCGCCGAACGGACGAACTGGACGCAACAGTGCGATATCAATCATATGTGAATAATTTATGTGTAAACAACTCCACCCGACAGACTCTAGTCAAACTTCTCTCAGAAAGTATATTTTTATCAGTCTTCCTATAATTATCATGTTATTCATGACAGAGGGTCAATTGAATTTGTGTGAGAAACTAATCACTGAGAGTACTTTGACAGTTTAAGTCTTAGGAGTTATACAGGGTATGGACCTTAATGCCTTTGTGCCAAGTGATTTTATCTTATAGTGTCAATTAAAAGTTAGTTAGCGAAAAGGACAAAGTTTATTCGTGTTGAAGTCATAGAGACTATTTTAATATTTTGTGCAATGGACCACATACATTGGACTACTGAACATAATCTCGATGTATCAAATGAGACATGAATGTTGCCAAAACTCGATGTCAATGCATGCGTATTTGTATGCATACATAAACGCATTTTTTTAATTTAATTAGTACTATGTATGTTTATATTTTCGTTTTGACCTTGAAGAGAGTACATAACTGAGTTAAATGTTTTTGAAATTTATCGCCATATTGCTGTCTTCCATTGAATCTTTTTGGCAAACATTTCAATTGTAGCTTGTGAAAGAGTTTATTAAAATATAAGGACTACCACATCACTATTTGGCAACTAAAAACCAAACATTTACCTAATTTTTGTTTTGGTTAGTTCTACTAAAAGACAATAACTATGTTTATCGTAATACCTAATATTTAAATGCCTGAGAACAATCGAAAATTATTCCACTGTGATAAAAAAATATAAAAGTGGTAGACACGTAGAATATGCTAGGGCTTTTTACTCAATGATTTCCAGCTACAATTTTCTGTGATCTCTTTTATCAATATAGGTAAATATGTCGTAGGGTAAATATTGCGTTTGTAAATACTAGTTTTTGTAATTATAAGTTAGATTAAGATACCGACTAAAGAGAATATGTATGATTTGTAAAACAAAATGTGGAGCTTTATCAAAGTACCTAGGTATCAGTAAGTACTATAACTACTGTTTGTATTTTTACATTGATTTCTATTTGGCATTTGAATGCCAGAATTTCCAACTAGTACACAATACAAATTGTCTCACGGAATATTGTGTCATCTTTTATTTTAATAACTTAAAATAAATGAAAGTAATGTTATAATAACTTTTTTTTTACTCTTTATTTTAACCTCAACGAATATAGACACCATAAGATTTCTAATCTAAAGAAAAATAAAAATCTTCATGTTAAAATCAAAATTCATGAGATTTTCAATGGAAAATTGCTATAGTGAATACATAGTTCTATTTCCTTTTTTAGGAAATGCATGGACACACCTCACATTACAGTTTCGGGACTTATGAGAACCAACCTCGTTAAAAAAAGAAAACCGGCTGTGAATCGGATTCGGGCACGCAGCATTCCGTACCATTATCTATTAAAACGGCAAAAAAAATCATGTCTGTTGCATGGGAGCACCACTAAAATGTTTTTCATTCTGTTTTTTGGTATTTATTTGTTGTTAGAGCGGCAACAGAAACACAATATCTGTGAAAATTTTAACTATCTAACTAACACAGCTCATACGATACAGCCGTGACTGACTGACAGACAGACAACAGTCTTGATAACGAGTAGGGTCTCGTTTTATCCTTTAGGTATGGAACCCTAAAAAAAGATAGTGTGGCTTTGAATCGGCAATATAGCTAGGTTTTTTCCTCGAAACTAATCTTGTACTAATTTACACATAATGACTCAATGAAAATTTATAGTAGCAACTCAATAAATGAAATTTATAATAATTATGCATAAAAGTAATGAATACTAATTAAGAAATATATCCAAATATCTTTTTAATGTCAAGTGATTATTGCCGGCGTATGGACATCTAAAACATTGAGTTGCAGATGCTTTGAAAACCATTAATATAGCCCTGGTGGTTACATCACTCACCAGACGAAACACTTATATCAGTTATATAATGTATATACAAGATAACCTCACAAGGCATTATTTTCTGTCAATAAAATTGGTAGGTATATTTGTCGAAAAAATGCAAACTTTCCTAAAATTAACAAATACTGTGCAATCCACTTTATTAAGAGGGTATTCCAGGCATTACACCAAAAAACCCACTTTTACTTGTATATTAATTAAGTCGAATGTAAACACCCTCAAGCAACAGGCAAGTATTGAGCAAAATGAAAGTTATCCTGAAGTATCCTATTTGAGGGCCATGATAGCTCATTGTCGGGGCGCTTGCTTTAAATTCAATATACTCTAACAACCTAAGTTCGATCCTCTGTGCTGGCATCAATAAAATTCTTAATTTTAAATGCTGACATTATATGCTCAGCGGTAAAGGGAAACATTGCAAGGAAACCTGCATATTTTCTAATAACAAAAAAAATTTTTGTGAAGATATGTGAAGTCTGCCAATACACAGTGGTATACCCTAATACCCTCTACAGAGGAGGCCTTTCCCCAACAGTGGGATATGAGTAGGTTGTAATGATCCCATTTGAGTTATGTTTTTTTTTCTACAGTTATACATTTGTAAATTGTACAAACATAAAGTTAGTACAAACATTTTAGCACTAATTATTGCACTTTTTAATTATTGAAAACTTTATTTTTGTTGCAGAATATATAAAAATCAACTAAAGCTATAGTTAGTTAAAATGTTCCGTATGTTTAGACATGGTCGTGGAAAACCCCCATATGAAAGTGGTTATCTTCTTTTTTGCCATAGTAGGTTAATGAATACTTTTAGAAAAGTTCACTTGCCATCAATTTAAGTAAATTCATGGAGTCACTGTGAATTAAAAATTTTTTTACCACATACAATAATACCATAAAGCATTATTGTATGTGGTACATTATTATTTGATCACCTTATAGTTTAATTAATTAACCAAAACAATAAAAGATGTTTTTTCTACTTAAAACATTTATTCAACCACTATCCTTATATTCTAATGCAAAAATTTGAGGAGTTAATTTTCAGCTTGTTGAGTTTGAAAAAAGATAACATCATCTGCTATTACTGTAGAAGCTGTTCTTACTTGTCCATCATCTAATTTCACTTCTCCGTAAGATAATTTACCAGTTACGTATACCCTTTGGCCTTTCTTCAGATATTTATACACTGTATCTCGTAAACCTGGTTTAAAAATACTTATTCGATGCCAATCTGTTCTCTGCAGTATATCACCTGATTCATATTTGTAACTAAAATGTGTTGCTAGTGGAAAATTAATGACTGGATGTTCATTGGTTCCACGTTTTTGTGGATCAGCTCCAACTCTGCCCAATAATGTGACTTGATTAATAGCTAAAAAATTTAATTTGAATAGAAATGTAAATAAATTATTTTAAAGTATACATTGAATAATGCAAACATAAATGCAAACAAAACAGCAGAAATCTTGATTAATTTAATTAAATTAATGATTCTCTATACAAATTAAAAAAAAATTACAATATACTTACTCTTTTCAGTTTTTTGATTGTCAAAACTAGCTGCTGATGTCTGCAATTGTTTACAGTAGTATAAACTTCGAATAGCATTCACCTGAAGACATGACGATTCCACAATCAATGGAATAAAGATATACTTATTTCAAAATCTATTTATGTCCGTATTTTTAATAACTTCTTAGTAGAATAATGTTAAAAAAGCTTACTGCGAATAAACCGCCAATTCAAGAGAAAAGGTTAGCTATTCAAAATACACTTACCCTGGATATTGAATACATTCTAAGTTTCTTATACTTCTTGTTATAATGAAATAATTACTCACAAATGAAAATCATGTATGAAAACAGTATAAATAAATATTTTACTACGGAATATAAAAACTTTAACATTCACGGTAAAACTTTGGCACAACAAATTTCACAAAATAAAAGCAAATGACTCGAGACATAGAGCCAAACAAGGACGCAGTGCTTACAAATAATCTTAAATATCTCTGTCTTTCTTTACGTCTACACAAATATATCCATCTGTAATTTACAATTATAAGCTTTTCATTCTCTTTCCTTAATTTCTTATTTCTAACACACGTCACGCACGTTAGCGTTTGCACTATGAAAAAAGAGGACACAAGCGTCACTTTAGCGTAAGTGGAAACAAATCTCGATAATCGTTATCGTTATGAATCCATCTTTCTTGTCGCCGTATAAAACTTATTTCCTACCTCATTTTGTTTTCTAACCTACATAAATTAAAATACTAATAAACCGAAGATATATTGCATTATTTACGTGATATAAGATCCTTGAATTTTGTTAACTTTAGAGTCGTATTTGGTGCATGTTTTGAAGACACACGAGGGCCTTGACCTTATTCACCGCCCTGTCTAACGTGAACTAAAGAGAAACATCCCAATTGGGACAACTTCGTGGCTTCATTTCAAGCGCCTTAATAATAATATCTGTAGAATAAAATATCATTGTCTGTCAGTCTATCAGTTTCTTCGTCCCGACCTTTCTGAACATCTTTCTTTGGAAACGGCTTATCAGAGGTTACTTTCATAAATCCTGATCACAGTACCTCTAAAGCACTCCTTAATGCCACTGGCGATATTACAACTGCCCTGGAGGCCTATAAGATGACTGTTGTGGTCCTTATCGACTTTTCCAATGCCTTTAATATCGTCAGTCATGATATCCTTTTATCTATCCTCTCCTATAATGTGGTTTCTGATGAAGTACTGACATGGTTCTCATCCTATCTTCAGTTAATGTCAGTGAATCTTCATCATGCTGGCTTAATCTTGTTGCTGGTGTTCCTCAAGGCAGTATACTTTCTCCTATCCTATTTTCTGTTTTTATAAATCCCTTATCTCACAATCTTCAATGTGCGTATCATCTTTATGCTGATGAATTGCAGCTATATGCCCAGGCAACTCTCGATACCCTGGAAAAAACTATTTCTAAGGTTAACCGGGATTTAATTGCTTTAAAAAATTGATCTCATAGGTTTGATTTAACAGTTATTCCATCTCAATGCCAAGCCACTATCATCGGGAGTAGTCATAACCTCGGTTTGATCATGTCACTGTCTCTATCAACTTAAGAACTTTTTAAAACTAAAATAAAAATTATGCTTGTGCAGGCCCTAATTTTCCCTTTATCCCCTATCGTGATATGTGTTATGTTGACCTAAATGCAGACCAACTCAATAAATTCGACCGACTTCTGAATAACTGCATTCGATTTGTCTTCAATCTTCATAAATACGATCATGTGTCGATATACCGTTCTAAACGCTCTTTATTATTTTATTGATTCTCCCTATACACCATCTTATCTATCTCCTTACTTTCAATATCTCTCTTCTAAAAACGATAAAAACCTTCGCTCGACCCATATCTTCTGGTTAATATCCCTCAATATTTGAAGACCAAAGTTTTCATTCATGTATGCTGCCAGCGTAGTTAGTGACTAGTTATAGACTTTCGGCACTGAGACCATTACAAAGCTACAAGTTTAATATAGCTTGTGTTACTCAGTAAAGATTAACATAGGCTACATTAAACTTCCAAGAAAATTTTAAAACCATACCCAAAATGGAACAATGTAACCCAATGTTTCAAGACTGTAAAAGTCATCATTTTGCGCGTGCTGCGATAACTATTTAAGATATACAGCGTGTCGTTACCATCGCGACAATAAATGAACACACCTCTAACGCTACTTGCCAATAATCATAAAAAAATATTAACGTTAAACAAAATCCATAATTAAAAAAAAAATATTTTTCAAACAAACTAATTAAGTAAAAAAGAAACAAAATTGGTAACACCTATACAACTCGCACCACAGCGTGGTATTACAAGCCTCTCCTTCTAACAGTATGTTTTGTCTCTTATAAATTCATTCAACCCATTCATATGCTTTGTGACATTTACAAATGAACTTTACGTTACGCTTTTATAGGTAAGGATGTTCTAAAATTCTTTGTTTGGAAAATTTAATAACTCTGTAAATATTGATGTTTAAAGAATTTAAATGTTTAATACAACTTTAAAAAGTTATCCCCTATATATGTGTTCATTTATTGTCGCGATGATAACGACATTCTGTATAGAATCTGCCACATAGGTGCAAAATCTGCCCAATTGGCAGAAGTCTGCCACAAATGGTCACACTGTTTAAAGCTCTAGGGAAAATTCGGAATTCCTTTCTCACATTGCCATACTCCATTCTATATGAAATACAATGAAATAAGTCTGGTGTAATATACTTGAATTGCTTAGTAAATTTACTATTTCTTACGAAATAATTATTGTAATGTTTTAAATGAGATGCCTTCAAATGAGATCATTTAAAAGAATTTTTACGGTTATTAATCATTGTTATTAAATGGAATAAAATTATTAAGGCAACATTGAATAATATTTACATTCAAAATTTAAAACTAGATTGTGTAAATGTAAAATATTACCGTACCCTTTTTATTACATAAATTATAAAAAAGACGCTTTTGTAATTTGTTTCATATAAAAAAAAGCTTTTGTACATTTCTCCTAGGGGGAATTTGATATTGGAATAAAAATATTAGGTAGAGGGATTTTTACGCTGCCAACATAAGAAAACAAATAATGCGTCGTTCGTTTACTGACAGCTGCTTTGTATTTTATGGATACTAGGTATACATAAAAATTGTCTATTCAAGTACCACCATAGCCATACCCAATCCAGAAGAAGTTGTTGCCTGTGAAGGATGCCTTCAGCTGCGAATGCAAAGTCTGAAAAACCAGCCTCTTCGGAGGCTACGGATAATTCCCCAGTACGGCAAATCATAACAGTTATTGAACACAAAATTCGCAATTTAGAGAAACGAAAGGTAAGTTTCAATTTTCGATACATCAACATTATAGCATTGTAGACTTTATATCTGTTTATTCCTGTATATGTATATATATATATATATATATAGCAAAGTTTCTACTTAACAGCTTAAGCTATGAGTTTATACCGAAATTAATTTAACACAAAGCTGTATCTGGTGATTTTTGTTGTATGTAAATAAAGTTGCGGTGTTCCGGAGACGCCATTTTTATACATGTGCTCCAGTCCAGTAGTTTTGTTACCAAATCGCAACGCCCAAAAGATTGTGACGACGGTATTTCTTTTTAAATTGCATACATGTGATCAATGATCTTTGTGCTAATCAAAACGCTTGCTAGTAACCGACTGGAATTGATGAAAAATTTGCAATGCTCATGATTTTGTGTCTATTTAACATGACACAAAATCATGATGTAAAATGTTGATGTGAGTTTTTATTATACAGTATTCAAATTCGTATTATTTCAAACAATCTCTAATATGTGCGTACATTTTTATTCAATACGTTTTTTTTTCTTATAGAGTAAGTTGACATCATATCGTGACCTGCAAAAGGCTGGTAAAGAATTAAACACTGATCAAAAAGTAGCAGTTGCTAAGTATGATGAAGTGGCTCAAACATTGGATTTTGCGAGAGATCTCTCCAAACAAATTACTGCAATTGCATCTTCAGCCGAACGTGAGGCAAAAAAGCAAGCTAAAAAGGTAAGAAATATGTGCAACTAGGGTTGGCAACTTTTTTGAGAAAAGTAAAGTATCTCATTTTCAAGTAGAGAAAATATAAAGTATTAAGAAGAAAGTAAAATATTTTTCAAAGTCTTATTCACTACTAAGTTTTCTGTAAGTGTAAGAAAATTAAGAAAATGAAGATGAACTGAAAATGTTTTTGTTTAATCATATCACATAATTAACAGCAAAAGCTTATAAGTTGAAAGTGTTCTGTTTCAATTTAGAAGTATTGATAATAGTTCAACAAGTATCCATAGGTACGTTAGTACGTAAGTTTGAAAATAGAGTATTTTGATATACTTTATTTTATGCCATATCTTTACCAAAAATAAAGTAGAATATGTTATTATAAAGTATGGTTGGCAACCTTATATGCAGCTATAGTATGATATATATTAACTATAGCTTTTTAAGAAGTGCAAGATATTTTATTTTATTGTAACAACAACACCATATGATTTACAACAAATATTGTAAATCATACTATACAGTTATTACATGAAATACTGAAAATTTCCGGCATATGCAAGCCTTTAGTAGGTGTGGTATCTTTGATTGATGAAATATATAAATTAATTGAATTTAATATGCAGACAATTGCAATTCATTATCTGAATTTATAAATTCAATTTATCTTTGTTCACATAGATGCTTGCGCGTTCTTATGAAATGCCAAAATTGTACATAAAAATTATTATTTTCGTAAGTTACAGTGATATAAATGAGAAGTGTAATAATTGCTCATTCTTATAACTTTCTTTTGTTCCATTTTTTTTAACTACCATTATTATAAGCATGTGTTGTGGGTATTTTTAATAATGATAAGATTTTTACAGTTAAGAATTGTTTTACTAAAAATATTTTGCAACCAATATAACACTGGACATAAATTCAATTCAGGATGCCTGGGTGCGCTATGCTGCAGAAACCAACAAGATACGTGAAGTTCTCTTAATTCTGGATTGCCTTATGCAAATGGGCAATTCAGAGGCCAGGGAAGACTTTCTGAATGGCACTAATGGAGCAGTTAAACTTACAGAAGAGGATTTGAAAATTTTGGATGATTTGTAAGTAACTATGTTACTTAACATCCATTTGTCTTGCTGAAATTTGTTTGGTATCTCATGATAATTTCTTGAATGTCTGTCCCATGACCATAAAAGTTAAAAAGTAAAATTAAAAATAAATGACATAGTTCAATTTATAATGGTTCCTTATATCTTGGGTAGTTTTGCTACTCCCTTTATCTACTAATTTTAATATAAAGCATTCTAAATTTAAATTTCTCATTTGTATTTATTATTACAGATACCCTGAAGTTACACCCAAACATGAATTAACTGAGGAAGGGCAATCTGCTTTTCACATACAAACAGTAAAAGCGGCTGAACATCTCTATGCCATTATTGATGGTAAACCTAAGGAGGTTTTAGGAACAACATATGCTCATATCAAAGAAATAGTTACTTCTGTACATGAATGTGGCTATTTTGACAAATCTACAGAGTGTGTGGCAGAAGAGATAGAAGAAAATCAAGTTATTGTTGAAGAAGAACAACAAATAGCTCCCTTGGAATTGGAAGAGCTTAATGCTGCTCCTCATTACCCTCCACCTAATGTTCTTCCAGCACCTCCTGCTCCTGCAGTTGTTCCAGCACCAGCATATCCCCTACGCCCCCTTCCTCCAATAACCTTACAAGAGGTTGAACATGCCTACTTTTCTCAACAGTATCCACAACAGAGACCTATTTCAGAAGTAATAGGATCTCAAAACTTCTTCTTCTTGCAAGAGTCAGAGATTGACAGCCCTGTCGGTACACCCCAACCACCACAAATTATGAACCAACCTTCACCGCCTGGACCGATACCAACGCAGACATTCACGAACCAGCACTTTGTCCAACTGCCTGGTCGTGTTCCAGAACCCACACCAATGCCAATGCCCCCCCAGCCACACTTTCCTCCACACCCTGAACACGCTGCTTACCCAGGTGTACCGATGCCTGCACCTATTCCACCGCCACAACAACCCGCGCATCCCCAAGCTATGCCTCAACCTCCATTGCAGCCTGCTCCCCAAGCCATGCCACAAACAGTTATCATTGAACAACAAACAATTCTGGCGGAGGAGCGTAAAGCTCCTACACCCATAGAAGACAGAAATGATGACGAATGGAAAGAAAGCCGAAGCCCTGAGCAGGAAGATGGTAGTGAACGAAGAACGCAAGGCCAGGGTGACGGGCAAAATAGATACAGACGATACGGTCGCAACGGCAGGGGTGCCCCCAACGGATACCGCGGACGCGGCAACTTCCAGAACCGACAGAACGACGGATACCACCCGCGCGGTGAATACCAGAATAGGGTGAACAAGGATGGCTATCAGAGCAGGCAGTATGACGGCTATCAGAATAGACACAAGGACGGTTACCAAAACAGGGGCAACGACGGCTATTACGGCAATGGAGACACGGGCGACAGTCACCAGCACAACGAAAACGGCGGTCGCGACAGATACGACGGCAACCAGGGTTATCAGGGCGGGTTCAAGAGCCGCGGCCGGGGAGGACCCCGCGGAGGACCCCGCGGAGCACCCCGCGCTCCCCGCCCCCAACAATACAATCGCAAGCCCGACAACGCCGAATAAACCCGGGCGACGCCTACAACCTAATGCAACAAACGTGGCAACCCCACTGAACTCTAAGACGGACTAAATCATTCGTGGAAGGCAAATTTCACCGGCAACAACGCGCTGTGGCAACAACAAACAAGAGATTAACGCTATCAAAAATAAAATAAAATGAAAAATTATAAAAAAAAAAGTAAAATAATAAAATGTGAAACTGAATAAAAAATAAGTTACTTGAATTTAGATGTATGATATATGCAATTATTGTAAGTTACGTTATAAATCTAGATTCTTGTATAGGTTTACGTCACGGAAGTGGCTAATGAGACGCGGTGTTCGGAGCGACCGGCGGGACGCGCGTTTTCGCGTACCCGCAATACCTCGTCTTCGTGATAATGTAAAACCGAGTACAGGAGAGACGTGCACACTATTGATAGAACGCCATCGTCTTCGACCTTTCCAAATCTCATCAACCTTTATACATTTGGTTTAAAAGTGGTAATTATATGTGTTAAGATATTTCTGTACATGTTTGTTTTCCTTAAACCATTATAATTTTTTTTTTTTATAATTATTAAATAAAAGCAGTAATTTGATCTTATTAATGTAATGTATTGTGCGCTTGCCTTTTAAAAATTAATAAGCAATATAATCCCTACATGGTATTTGCTGATATTTAAATATATACCACTCGCATTTTGAGAATTTTGTTTACGTTTATTTTAAACGGCTCTGTAATGTTAACGAAACTTGAGCGTAATGTTTTGTGAGCTCGCTCATAAATTAAGTTTGATCCGAGCTTCCCCTCATATTTCTTTACATTGTTCTCAATAGAGGCTGTGTGCAAGCAAATTAAAGTATTCTATGAATATACATTGTTTGATTGTCGAATAATTCCTCTTGATGCAATAAAGCATATCCACGTAAGGAAACTTGCTGTTAAGTGTTAACCATACAGCAAACACCATAGTCGATAAACTGATGTTTTAATGTGATAAGATTGCAAGCAAGCAGGTGGTTAAACATTATATAATAGATTAGATGTTGGTTTTTGTAATAGTGTATTAGCTTTTCCAACTTCTGCAGATGCTAGAACACTATATAATATTGTTCAAAAATGTTTAAGCAGGCGTTAATTTTTTTAAGTGTTTATGTAACTTTGTACTATGAGGGTGATATTTACCTACGTGTGTAAAAACCCTCTTTAATAAAATAAAATAAAAAAAAAGCAGGCGGTTCACCTGATACTAAGTGGTTATCGCATCCATGGCGTTATTAACTTAAAAAAATTGGACCTCAATCACCAGTCGCAACGCTATAGGAGGTATGATACCGCCGAGGTTGTGGTACTTCTTCAGACGAGCCTGCCTATTTGTACCAGCACAAATAGCCGTGGCCCTATTCTGTTACTGTACAATAATATGAGCTCACGCTTTTACTTTCTTTAATCATACGCGTTCAATCTTATTTCTAACTTTGTGCGTAACAGCAGTTTTGTTACGTCGATATGTTGTTCATTCATATAAATTACAAAATACCGTGTAGAGAGAATTAAAAATTGGTTAGTTAAACTGGGTTGGCTTCTCACATTACCTTATATTGTAAACGTTAAATAATAAGATGTGGTAGAGTTGGATTTAGATTATTCAGATATTGCCTTATGCAGTTATTGGGTAAAATAAAGAAATCATATAATTAGATAAAATTGCCATTTATTATGAAGTCATATAATAAGAACGCGTCAAAACGAATCGGTTTTCCTGTCGCGTTCGACAATAAATAGCTCTTACAATTTTTATCAGTTTAAACAATATGTGTTATTTTTACAATACTACATAACTACCTATCTATGCATATAAACTTACATACTTAAATCGTACGTAACCTATACAACCCAATGCAATTATACAAAATATCTTCTCAGTGTACTTATGTTTAATACAGCGAAATAAGATCGCATTTTTTGTTCATTAATAAATAAGGGTTAATGAAAACTTAACTGAAGATCATTATTAAAGTTTTTCATAATGCAATAAATTCAACGACTGCTTTAGGAATGTGTGTTTGCTGTTTGTCCAATAGGTAGCAATTATTTTTCACACAGAAAAATATTAAAAATTACCAATATTTAATTATTGTATTTATTTCACAATAAATTGAAATAAATTCTGATACGTGATATTGGATGTCAGGTATGAGAGTTTCATACAATTTGTAAATAATATTGAAGTTCACTTAATTTCCTCCGACAAAACCGCATTATTTTAGTGTGATAATTTAAATTACCTCAAAAGTGAGATTCTTTCCTGCAGGCTACGCAATTTTTTTATTTTTTCTTATATGTTTATGTGCGGGTGAGATACTTTGTTATTTAGAGGCACTTAGTTTTTATTATACTATCGTGGATAACTTTTTTTAAACAAAATATTTTAAGACATATTATACATTAATTTATATTTTCATCGAGGGCCTCGTTCTTTTATTTGATAAATAATTTACGACAGGGCTTTCCAAACAATTTTCACAATAAAAAACTTTCCAAAACAAATATCATATTGTAAGTTGTATAAATTTATCACCCGAAAGTTGTAAACCATCAGTGGTTTCATTACTTTCCTTCTATCACGAATAAGTTAAGTATGTGTTTCAGCAAATAAACATGAATTGTCGCGGAAACCAAACGTTCAAAACGGTTTGGCAAACCCTGACCAAATATTAGGCTAACACAAATTTCTTTAAAATAGGGGATACAGTCTTATATAATAGACACAATTACCCATAATACTTAAAACACACAAAAATAGTGTTAAAATGTTGTCCATTAAATATAGTATGATCATTAGAACTGATATATGAATTAAATACGTCAATTCTAATGCATGCCTAATCATTTTGCGACATGTAAGAAATAATTTGACTTGGTAGGTCTCGCGCATATTGATTCTCAAATATAACTTTAAATCAGTTAAGTAAAAGGAAACTTGTACCGAAAAAGAGTATCCAGCATATGCATACATGTCCTATTTTTGAGTAAGGTCTCCATAAATTTCAGAATCTTCGAAATATATTTCTTTACTTATTTCTTACATATATGTGGGTTTCTACACGATGTTTATTTTCGCAGTAAAGCACGTGGTAAATCAACAGTTCAAATTGTATTTCATTGGTGCCCGCACCAAAATTGAACTCTGTTTGCTCAAGTACACTGAACCAAAGTCAGTGCCCAACCAATGAGCTACCAGGGCTCTAATGTTACAAATAAATCATTCATTTATTAATTTTATTTACAATCTATGTAACGAAATGGTGTTTTTTTTAATCAAAAATATTTTTTTTAGAGAAATAAATTATTTATATGCAATAGGATATTTTCTAGATATTTTCTTTTATACTCAACTAATTACGGATGTTTTCGTTTGGATTCAGAGAATGTAAGTGGCGAATTTACTACTACCCTCACATGTACTAAGACGGGATACATTAAATAATTAATCATACTATATTTAGTCTGTTCAAGAAATTAATGACGTGTAGTTGATGTTGTTTTTAAAATTAACTATTATCACAAAACCAAAATTAACACGAGTTAAGAGTTCAAAAACGAATGACAAAATTATTCATACATCATGAGGCAAAAAAAACTTATTATTACAGAGTATGTAACTTTATTTTACTATGGGCACCACAATTTTATTGCTTGACAATGTTAATCCGTATCTCGACAGTCACTTTTAATTAATAAAAAAAGTAACAGCATTAAAGCCATTACTTAAGGACAGTGTATAAACAAGTTTAGTGTTTTTTGCAGGCTAGTGTATGTTTTTCTTTGTGATTTAACATTGTAAGCTTCCAAGATTTACATGATTTGTAACAATATAATTGTTACATAGATTCCAGGTTAAATAGTATTTTCATTTTTATACTAAAATAATCCAGGAAAATCCTCATGCACAAGTATAATTTTAAATATAAATAATATTGACAAATGCTAACGTACTAACTGCGCAGATACTGCTGTTCTTATATATCAGAAGCATTTGTAATCAATTCGTACAACATTAAAGAACATGACATGAAGCTTACAAAAAATACAAATATCTATTTAAATAAAGTTGGGTATAACATATACCATAAAAAGCTTATGAAGCTTGCAGAAAAAGGTAAGTAAACAATTTTGGACAAATCAATACTCTCAAACAATCAACAAGATTAATCAGTTTTGAAATAAAAAGAAATTGACAATATGTGATGTTTTGAATACTTATATTTTTGATCATATTTTACATTACATCCTCTCTCATAAAATATGAAATAAATGCTACTAATTGTATAATAGAATACAAAATAATTAGATACATACAGCATATATTTCACAGGTATAAAAATTAAACGAGAAATGGTCCTTATGTGTGTTGCGAGCACTACACAAACGTAGCTTTGTTACTGTTAAATCATCTGTCTGGACATTGCGTGGCGCATTTTACGCTCCCATGACTCCGCCTCGGCCCAAGAGTGTCGCACGTCGCGAAACAGCTGAAATTAAATGGTACTCAATCAATATGGTGTCCTACTTTATGGCCCTGTCCAGTGTGCAGATCACATGGAATCAATATTGCGCTAATGTTACTGGATTTGTAGTTTTGGTAGACAAGAGTGGTAGAGGCAGCTTAAAGCAGACATGGTGGTTGAAGTAAGACGGGTTGGTCGAGTAGCTTATACCTATAGGTTATACCTTTAGGTAACTAGTAGGTTAGTATGTACTATGATGCAACTAGCTAAGTAGCTTCACACAACACGTTAGTCGTCACGCCCTTCATCTACTTCTACCTTCACTTATTTAACTTTATTGGAGAACAAAGTGAAAAGTACCCACATTTAAGATTACACATGACAAGGGTAAAATGTGGTAAGGAGAGTTGATTGTGTAACACTGAATTGACCTGAATTTAAATAAAAATATTTCATAAAATTATTACAGTGGACTTTGAGTATGAATTTTTAATGGTTTAGAAAATTGAACAGAGAATTCGGACAAATGCATTTTATAATTACATTTGAAACTTCTGCAAAACTGGAAATATCTCAACATTTAACTGACTGCTTCGAGTATTGATTCTTTTAAATAAATGGTTACCTGCGACAGCCAGACTTCGTCTGCTAAGAGCTCATTCAGTATGAGGGTGGTGTCCTTGCTGGGGTTCTGCATGCGCTTGTCTGCTACCCTCTTGCTGCATTCAGCATACATCAGATACTTCTGGTGCGATATCCTCGAATACAGCTGCACGCGTCCACAACAGGTGCCACATACCAGGAACTCCTGCAGTAATAATTTATTTATTTTCATGGAGAATGTTCACTTTTTTTTAATATGATAACAAACTTCATCCACAGACTGTGGTCTGTACACTTTTTTGTTTAGGAGGAAGAATGTACGGAGATCTCGTCGTCGCAGTTTTAATAGGTGTTATTTCTTTACTAGTCTCTCTGCGACCGCTGCGTTTCTCTTCCTGATTGAAATTCAATTTTACACACATGCTTAATGTTTTATGAGAATAAGTAAATTGTAAAACTTGATGCACTAATTAGTACCCAACATTATAAAATATTCTTGCAATAATTAAGAATCGTCGAAAGTGAAAATCCTTGTGTGCGCCTGGGGGTCTCTGAGAGGTAATTTATTGAGCTCCCGAGTGTTATGTATTAATTCAAAGTAAAAAAATAATTTATATTACATTTAAGCATCATTAATTAGGAATTTTATAAATGATCATCCAACAGCGACCCGTCGTGTCCAACCTTTTCGTAGGCGAGTCGAGCGTCCGGCTGCACCGGCTCCAGCGTGGCGGGGTTGTACGGCTGCCCGTAGAGCAGCAGCCGCGCGGCGGCGGGCCGGGCGCAGGCGCGGCACCCGCCCGCCCCTACGCCCGCGGACACACTGAGCCCGGGCCATGTGGCGGCCGCCGCGTCGAGCGCCCTCCCCCCCGCCCCCGCACCGGCCGCGCCCCCTGCCGCCCCCGCCGCCGCCCCTCCAGCGACCGCCCCCGCGGCGGCGAACGACACGCGCGCCTTCATCGTCTCCGTCACCTCGTCCACGGTCTTCACGTTCGATAGGAAGTACTCGTCTGGAAAACGACAGTTACAAGTGTGAAAAATAATCGTACACCCTCCGCGGTCTGGTCGCGCGTGGGCTGCTGATTAAAAAAAGAAGGCTTTGTATAGAAATTGGGTAATGTGACTTGGGCAAACTTCAGTGGAGCATTAAATTTTTGCGTGGGTTATTTGTTGTAATAAGCATAATAGATTAAAATAGGTTGAAAGGAACAATGGATACATACAATAGAAAGATGTATTGTACATGAAATTGCAAGGCTATTGCATTTGTCTGTTATTTAAGGGCTATAATAATCATCTAAAAGAAAGCTACAATATGTAACTTATATTGTTAACAGATAATTATCAAATTTACGAAAATGCGCAATTTGAGTAAGAAGGAAAATTTGAGTTAAGTGGGTTTAATATATATTGGACTCACTTGCACAGAAACATATTATCAATAAGAACCTTCACCTTGCTCTTGGAATATCTCCGTGAGGAAATTGGGATCCAATGCATGCGATATCAGGGTCTGTATATACACTTCAAAGTTCTCTTGATACATCTGCGTCTCTAGCATCCTCTTTTCGATAAAATTGCAGTCGTCCAGAGGTAACTCGCTCCTCAGCAGTTCAACAGTCGTCTCTAGGTGAGACTGAGAACGCACCTTCACCGGTACCTGGGTGTAGAGTTTCTTGTTCTCGGGATTCCACGCCGCGTACTAAAAAATCAAAGTTGAATATGATGAAGTTAAATGAAACTAACCGGTACAAGTAAAATTTTATATGTACTAATTTAAGTTCACTCTTAGTTATTACTGATTCGATGGCACAGTTGCTGAGCTATTGGCCCGAGGCGACGGGGATCATGTGTTCAATTCTCACATGGGTTAAGTATTTATGTGATGCACAGATAATTGATTCAGATCTGGATGTTATTTTCTAAGGACTGACAGCCGGTTGAGAAATCCTAGATAATACCAGAAAAAACATGGAATGCTAATGCCTAGGTAGGACAATGGTGATATGGTTATTAATAATAACCATACCACCATCGATATCAAAGATGTTAATTATACAGAGTTAATAATATTTATACAGGAGTTCCTTGCTACATATTGAAAATTGCGCAGAGTATGAAATTTCTCACAGTTATACTTTACATAGAGGAATGTTAATATTTTTTTTTATTGTGCATAAAATATACATTAGATGAATGAACCACACATGCATATATACCATTTTGTTTATTGTTAAAGTTTGTGGTCCAATTGAACAATGATTAATATTTTTTAGACTTATAATTTAAATTAATTATGGCCACTGTACGACCACCAATTATATTAAAAATGTCTTAGTTTCATAAACTGATAGTACTTACTGTAGATATGTTTCGATATAACACTTTTCCATTTTCCTCAAAAGGCTCGTACTTTTGCAGGAGTGTTTTGCCATCCACTCGCCATATTGCAGGCCACATTTCATTCAGATCAGTTTTTATTGCTACAAACTCACCAGACTGTAATGAAAAAGACGAAAACCTTAGTAACACATTAAAATTTACCAGTAAAATAAGTGATTTATTATTGCTAGTAATTTTTTTATTTCATTTTATGTAAGAATCTCATGTATAATTAAAGGAGTTATATATATATATGTCTATAATTTTGTATAATCTGAAAATTAATGTGTAGCAATAAAGCATGAATAAATGAAAGTAAAAAAAATCACAAGAAAAGTGTGTGCCCACAAAGTTGTATATTTATATTTTGCAACAAATCGAATTAAAAGCCAGATAACATTGTCTGTTGGATGTAAGAATTCCATTCATAGGGACAATGAAAAATGACAAGAGACTATTTAGTATCTGAGTACCCTTTAAAAATACTAAGGAAAGGATTTTAGAGTTTTTGTTTAAGTTCTTCAATAATTTAAGAAGAAGAAAGCAGAAAGGTTTATTCACGGTCTAAGCACAATGGATTTCAGTCATGAATTAATGGCAAAAGATATTACCTGATATGGCATTTCCTCAACTGGTCTGGTGTTATCAATTTGGCCTGTACTGGAAACTTGCTGGTGGGACTTAATGTGATGCAATTTTCTATTATTTGCCTCAGTTTCACTAGTAGCGTAATTGGTATACCCTAAGGCAGCTCCATGTGCAGACACTAAAACATAAGAATTTATTGCTTAAACACACAATACTTTTATGACAATTAAAAAATAAATAAAAATGAAAAGTAATTACCTCCTTTGAACAAATTTATGTAATATACGCGAGAAAATAAGACTCCATAGGCGGGATGGGTGAGGAATAAGGACAGCCAAATGATGAGTACTTCATCAATGCGATAACATGTACACATGACATAAGAATGATTAATTATTATGTAACAAACAAGTTTACAATATCAATAATTAAGTGAGAAATTGTACATATCAATCAATTGCACATGTTATCCCTATTTTGGCGAAGTGAGGGGTGCTACCAGGAATAATTACAAACTAAAAACAGTTAACACATCATCGGTAATATACTCGCGTTTATTTTATGTTTTCTCCTATAATACAAAAGTATTTACATAAAATATTGAGAATTGTGCATAAACAAATAACAATTAAATAGAAATACAAAACTTATGTTCAGGGCATGGCCTCCTCTAATACATTATCACACAAACTAGCTGTCAATGTATTATGCAATTCTTTTCCTCCTTATAATATAAAATCACTTTCGGCTAACAGCAAAATATATGAATTACATTACTGTAAGTACCAAATAAAATCAAATACTGTAAATACAATACATTATTTCATATGTACAACAGACACTCACTGGTATTGTTTCCATAAAAAAATATACCACAATTTTGGAATTATTAATGGTAGCACCCCTTCAGTAGCGAGTATGACAAGAGTCACAATTTCTACATTTTATAATTAAATGGCACTAATAATGTGTCATTAACAACAAATTTGGTGAAATCTTGTTACAGGCTAACCCTAAAATATCGCTCTCTAATAGATAGGTACATCACATTTCTTTCATAGAGGTTATTTACAGTGAATAATAATAGATTTCATCTAATAAAAAATTTACAATATCACAGTTAAAATGTAACAAGTTTTCACGCGCAGCCTGCCCAAGCGGCAGTTAGCTTGCTCCTGTCATACAAGCTTCAGGGCTAGCCGTTCACCATCGCGCCCTACTCCTCAGGTGGAAATCTAGTAAATTGAACGCACCTTCCTCGGGCTGGTGTTGGTAATAGTATTGCTGCTGCGGCGCTGGCTGCAGCGCTGCCACGGGCGGCGGTGCAGGCGCTCGTGGCTTCTTGGGCGCGGCCGGCTGGGGCGCCACGGCGGCCGAGGGCGGCGGCTTGCTCATCGCCGCGCGCCCCTTCTTGCCCTTCTCGTTCAGGGGCGTGCTTGGCACGTTCAGCACAGGCTTGTTCAGCCGCCGCGCCTCCTCCTCCGCGTCGTACGCCTCCTCGCTGCCATCGTACTTTCTCTTTCTATCCTTGTTCATATTGTAGTAGCGTGGATCGTCCATCTCGCTCTTTGCCTGCGAGCTGAGGAGGTTGGTCGGCGCACCGTGTATCTGGTTCGCGCCCAGCAAGCCGCCCGTGCTCATGCTCGCCGAGGAGCTCATTACTGGGTTGCTCAGCGACATGCCACTATTGATGGCATTAGTAGGCGCCATCGCACCGTTAGCACTCTGCTGTGGCGTGCTAGCTTCGCATTGGCTCTTGTTGTGCTCGTTGGGCGTGAACGCTTTAGTGCTATTGGCATTGCTATTTGTGTTAGCCCTTGACCAAGTAGACTTTCTGGCGCCCCTGCCGGCCGGCGGCGGGGACGTATCACGCTCCCCTTGTAGAAATTTTAGATAAGAAGCCATGAAGCCTGAACCGGGGCCCGTGACAGGAACATTGAATTTTTTTTCCATTATTTTTGTAGCAGCGTCTTGGGAAGCACTGTTTACATTCTGCTGCTGAGAAGTGGGTGCTACCGATGATGCAGTATTAGCGCGTTGTTCTGCAAGGAAACCAAGTTCTTCCTCTATATTAGGTACTACCACCTTAGGCTGTTCCTCCTCACGAGTTTCTGGTGTGGAAAATGATGACGAGGAAGCCGAAGGTGGTGTCTCACTAAATGACGATAATGGTGTTAACTCCACAGATGATTGGAAATCGGGATGGGGACCTAGGTGGAAGGGCGGGAAATAGGTTAATGTATGTCCATGTTGCATGGCAAGGGCTTGGTGTTGGTTTGCAAAATTTGCTGCATGTAAAGGTGGTTGGGAACCAAACGGTGTAGTGCCTGGAAACATTTTTGGTGGTGGTGGTGGTAAGTTCCACCTTTCAAAATCAAAATAGCTACCATTTTGTTGCTGATTGTTTGTTGAACTGTGAGCAGGGGGAGGTATCCTATTTGCTAAATAGTCTGCCATTACTACATTAGATAATTCATTCACATTAGCATGAGGCACTGGTTTTTCAGTACTTTTCCTTCTTGGAAGAGTTTTGTTCAATGGTGAGGTATTTGAGGTTGCTGGTTGACTTTTACTTGATTTTATATCTTGCACTTGACAACTTTGTTGTAAAGTTTGCAAATTTTTAACAATACTCATTGGATCACCGCGGCAGCTAGAGAGGTCCTGTAAAGCTACATTATTGCCATCAAAATAGTGATGCCTTTCATTTACTAGCCTATCAGTTGGAGTTTGAGATTGCTGGGCGGTTTTATCAGTATGAGTATTATTTTCAGATAAGCTGTTATAATTACCATTATTACTACTACTACTGTTATACTTTCTACTTATTTGTCGATCAGCCTCCCAACAATGTTGGTTGGTAGCCTGACTCTGCCCTCTTTCATATCTATTTTCAGTAAAACCTTTGCTGTGTTCTATTCCTAATGCTCTAGTGATAACCGAAGGATACGCCACTTGACTGTTTTGTGAGGGCGACCTTGAAACAGATGCGTCTAATGGGGATCGTGGGGCTGAATTATTGACTTTGCTATAATGATCCCCATGTTGTTGAGGAGAATTTATAGAGTTCATTGGACTATGGTACATTGGATAGGCTGGACTAGATCCATGACCAAGAGGTGATGTCTGTGGTGCAGATTGTAATGGACTTTGTCTTCTACCTGCCACTACACCGCAATCGGGACCATTTTGGGAACTACTACTTGAATAGCCAGTATCTGTACTTGAACTACTTTTAGCACGGACATGATAATCTGATTCTACATTATTTCCACTTTGATAATGTCTAAAACTAGAGTTTTGTGTAGAAGAATATGGAGAGCTATTCATTCTATTTGATTTTGACGATGAGTTGGTACTATTACTATAACTCAACCGTCCCGGTGCATCCATAATTGAGTAACTTATTGGTGATGATTGGGGTTGGAGTTTTTCATTAGAATCACAGCTTTTTCTTTGTTCACTATTTTCGGGATATATTTTACTTTGGGCCTTAGTTTGAACTTGAGGGGGTTTTGATGTTGGAGATACAAAACTACTAGTTGTATTGTTTGAGGGCCTTGATGGCTTATCACTATTTGTGTTTTTAGGTGATTGGGAATTATACACAGAAACTGAAGGTCTAGTAACGTTAGAAGATGATGTGCGATAATCTTTAATAGGTGGTGTTGGGGATGAGGTTACTGATGGAGTTGACACAATGCATGATTGTTGGGAATGGGCAGCAGAACTTGCAGAACTTGAATATGACTTACTTCCAGCATAATCCTGTTGAGATGAAAGTTGACCACTCTTTGCACTACTTGCACTGTACGTGTTATCAGTCTGATTTCCAAAAGCAGGAGGAGATTGAAAAAATGTAGATGATGAGGTTGAAGACACTGGTTGCTTAGATGCAGTAGCTGGGGAACCTGACCTATTTGTTTGTTTACCGGCACTAGAAATTTGTGAGTTAAGATGATTGTTAAGGGTTTGGGCAGCAGCAAAATGTGCATTAAAATTCTCATAGGCTGCTGAAGCTTTTGTAGTAGCAGGGCTTGGCGAAGAAGGCACAACACTTTCATGAGGTAAAATCCCAAAAGGGCTCGGAAGTTGATTATTTCCTTGCCAACTTAATCCAGCTGTGCTGCCTGGAGTTGATGATTGATCAAAAAATGATGTTCCTTGTGCTAATGTCTGATGTGAATAATTTTCTCTTAAAGATGACAGCTCTGTTTCCACTGATGACTGTTTTGAAGCCACAGCAGCCTGAGCTTGAGCAATCACTTGCCGATGTTGAGCCTGAAGAGACGAACTGTAGTGTGCTGGTTTTGGACTTGCATGATGAAATAGTGGTGAAAACACTGCGTCATATCCCACAGCGGGTGGAGATAAAAATCCACCAGGGTTGAAAGGTGACGCAGTTGATGAGCCCAGTTGTCCAGCTAATGAAGCAGTTGTATGCGCAGCCTGGAGCAATAATTGGCTTGTGGTTGATGGGACAGACTGGCTGCCGAGTCCTGAACCACCACTTGCTAGATGGTGATGAAAGTCTCCACTTGCAGTACCAGCCTGGACCCCCGCTAGCCGATTGTAAGAAGCATATGCTGACCATGGTCCTACTGGATCCATTACCAACTCCGTGTAGTTTTGTTTAGTGTCAATGTACGTAATTTGTCAATTAAAGTCCACACTTTCATCCATAGTTTGTATAACACATTAACAATATGTTTACTATCATTACATTAGAGCACTGGAAGTCATCACGTTTTAAATAATCTTCGTAAATATTAAACACCCCTGAAAAGAAAAAAATATCATTAGCAAAAACGATGTTATGAACGTGAACTTGCGTCATATTAAGACTTGATTCAAATAAACAACATTTCATAACCTTTTTAAATTAATTGTTTATGAAAGTAAATATCAATAAATCAAACATTAAGATATATAACATCAAAAGCTGGTAAGAGTTGAATCGAAAATAATACGCCGCCTTTGATATTGAAAAGCGTCACTGTTTAAACAATACAGGAACTTATTTCGTGTAAATATTTCAAACAAAGGGTGCATTTAAAAAAAGGAACATACCATCGCCTAAACATTAAAAAAGCATTTATCAATGTGGTTTCTGAGGACGCTCACAGGACAGATAACATCATAAATATGGCCTCGACTCCTCGAGTGTTCGTTGCGACGGGTTTTGTCTATTGTGAAATAAAAAGCCACTTATGTCATGTCATATGAAACACATAATACTCCACAATATGTAGTACACTATGAGAATTATCTTCCTCCTTTTGTTTAACTGTTTAAATGTTTGAAAGAAGCTGTTTCTTTATTTACAAGTACAAATAAGACAACGTTTCGCCTTTCACATTAATCGCCGCCATCTTACTTGTCGAATGTCGGATGAAAGACCGCACAACAAGCTTTAAAGCGCCATCTACAAAAATATTAGTTTTTTTATGCTTTTTCTGACACATTCATTTTATGCTCAAAAAATATGACATTGTATGACGATATACAATATGACGATAGCCTTTTAGTTAAAAAACGAAGAAGCAGTTTTAAGTTTAAATTATATTTAAAAAAATAAACCACAGACTAAAAATTAAAAATTATTATAACTTCCGTTAAGTTGACATAATTACAATTTTTGCATGTATTTTCCTGATTGTAACGATTTGTTTTTAAACCTATGATTTTTTTTGTTAATTATGTGTAGCTAGGCCCGTGGCTTTGACAGCTTTGCAAGGCATAACGATTGAAAAGATCGCTTTACTAAAACGGTCTTAGATTGTATAGCGAGTCACGGCATATTTACCACATGCGATCGGTAAAGGATCAAATTAGTCTCCTGTTACGTAGTAATAACATCAGAACAATTTTCCACAGGACATTTTTTTTAAGGATCGTGGCCCTCTAGATCATTTACTTCAATCGATTATTTCACGCAACTTCAGCAAAAGCTAAATTAGAGAAACGTGACATAAACACTAGGCTTACTGAACACCTCCGCTGTGTACGCAAAATGGATAGCAACTCTTAGGTTTTGGCAAAGCACGCCCTTAACTCCGACACCTTTAAGATATTAAGCTCGAGAAGGTGAAAGTGTTGCACGATGAAAAGAATCTCTTGTCACACAAGCTCTTGTATGGTAGGCGTTGTCGCCTACTTGGAAACGTGTTATTGAATGCGATGTCGAACAAGAAAGATAATGCTGAGGATTGTGTAGTGAACATAGAGAGTACATATTGTGCATCCCTAAAAACCATAGGGACATTGCATTGATTTAATTGTTATCAACGCCGGCGCACCCCGCGCCCCCATTGCTGTTAAGCCTAGCGGTGCGCAGTGCGAGACGGGGCGTGACTGCAAACTCATTCCACTCATCCTCATGAAGGACCTCCAGTAGGTCCGAAACCAGTCCCTACATATACCGATTGGTCACGAGTTCAGCTGTTTTATTATTTCGTTAAGGTGAAGGAAGTCTTTTTTATATTTTTTAATTATTATATTTGTTTTTTAATTAATAAACGTGTATCACTGTGTGACTTGGGCACATTGATTTTTCATAGTATAAATGGCATTCTAATTTTCGAATTCTGAATGTGTTACGGTAATTCGAGTGAATGAAAAGTTCTAAAATTCACAAGTTACTTTTGGGACATCATGGAGTCAATTTATGACCTTTCACCTGCGATTTGATTAACCGCCTTTGTCTTAGAATTATTTTTTGAATTCATGAATTTTCAGAAATTGAATGGGAAAGTGATTATTTCTCTGAACTTTTAGCTACAGCTATCGACTTCCCATTATTATCTAAAATATGACAGCTATCGGATTGATTTGAAATCTTTGAAAACCGCCAAAAAAGAAAAGAAGCAGAAGAAGATCTGAAATCTAACGCCCGGTTTCTGAAATACTGATTATCGTAGAAATTAACTAATCAGACATTTGAAAAGCCGTTTTACAGCCGATTGTCCAAAAATTCGATTAATTTAGTTAATTTTCGAAAATGCTCGGCTAAAATAGAAAAAGGAAGATAAGAATGATCTGAGGCAGATTGCACTGTAAATAAATCTTGAGTATATCATTATGAACCAGAGTCGTAGTAAAACTCCATGTATTGATATTAAAACGGAATATTAACAATTAAAATCTCAAGTTCACAATCTGGCAAAAGCAAATACAAACATGTTTTTAGACTACGAAGGCTTTCTGTTGTATTGTTAGAAAGAAATAGAAGTTTTCCTAAATAGTCTATACCATTCTTCTATGGTGAGACGCTTAAAAGATAGCAGAAGGCAAAATTGAATAAAGATTTTCTACATTTGTGGTTTTCGCAAAATTGCAATAGTTATAATCTATTAAGTGAAAAAAAAGGGGGTTTTGGTTTTTCGCCAATACCTCAAAAACTATTCGAGATAATTGAAATTTGAAAATAAAAATGATTCAAAAAGGGGAAGAAATTTCCTAATAATATGTCCCGACTCCCAACTGTAGGACCAATATTGCGCTGGTTTCCGTGCTTCAGTATTATAAATCACTCCACCGCTGTATATTTACTGTGTACAATTAGAGCTCTTTTTAAAATTAATGAATATTCGAAGTAAGTATTTAAAGCATTTGTCGGATTCGTATTTTTTTTGCAAGTGCGGTATAAAATTTTTGTAATTTAAATAAAAATATTAATGGTGGTTTTCATCTCGTGTATGTCGATAAATCTTCGAGACATTCAATAGACGTAAAGTAACAGCCTATACTTGTCCGATTGCTGGGAAAAGGCCTCCTCTGTAATAATGTATGTATATCAGGGCATAGTTCACCATGCGGCCCCACTGGGCGTATTGGCGGGCTTCACATACGTGCGAAAAAAGTTTTTTTGTTGTTATTTCGAAAACATGTAAGTTTCCTCGCCATGTTTTCCTTCACTGCAGAGCACGATCAGTCAGCACATAAAATTAAAAATTTCATTCGTGCCGCGGCACCGGAGATCGAATTCGTGTGGCATATAATTAAAGGCGAGCGCCCGGACACTGAGCTATGACGGCTCAATAGTCGTTACGAAAAAAAAATACAAATAATTTTCCACATTTATTATATTTCAGTTACATAATTATCTTTGGTACAGTTCGCACATTAGGTTGTTGTTAGGAAGACATTCGGGTATTATAAAAAAATAACAAAATAAAACACTAAAATAAAAACTTATCTTTATAACAGCGAAAACATTTCAAAATTTCCTTAAAAGTAGACTCCTACAAGTGTCTTCGAAGTAAATAGATGTTGGCGACTTGAAGTACCAAAAAGATTTTAAATACGAAAAAAAATAGGAAATGAATCTTTAAAGCCGTGGAAAAAATTACCATGTCCGTAAATTAATTTGGACAGAAATAAATGTATGAATGTGCTGAATCTAAATCCAAAGGCCTTTTAATATTTGGTAATTTATCAAAGATATAAATAATTGTTTTAGAGATGAAAAAGCAAAGGATTTCACTTCTTTCATGGTATGAGGTAGAAGCATCTAAACAAAGCGTAATGTTTTAGCTTACGCACTTGACACTTTCTATTATTTTATTGAAACGGTATTAATTATCCGAAACGTAAACAAAAAAAGAACGACAAAGACTTTAGAATTTTATTCTCTTCATTAAGACGTTTGGCACTAAATTATGTTAATATATTTCTCTTGGAGAGAAAAAAAGGAACGGAATCTGAAATAGTACGACAGTTGACACGCGTAGGACGGCAAACATTTTCAACGATAATAACCAGAAACGATAATAATAATATAAAAAAAAAAATAAAAAAAATGCAGGTAATGTAATCCTGTCAATCGATAATTGCATGTCCATACAATCTCTAGTGACTAAACACTTCGGGATTAAATTTCTTAATTCTAATACGAGATTCAAGTGTCATTGCCCAATTTAATTGTCATATTATCTATTCGACCGGCATCAGTAACTGAAAAGCTACAATATACGAGTTGTTTAGTTGTGATTTACGGTTTTAATGAATATGAATTATGCGTTTATATATTATTATATATTATGCGTTTAATGCCGCGGTCTGTGAGATTTGATGAATTACAATATTTTTTTTAAGATTTAGCTTTTCAATTGTAATTTTATTCGGTGCACTGACTTTATATATTTGACAGAAAAATACACTTATTTCACGCTTATATTGAATTGCATTCGCGACATTACAATTGTCCTTAATCGAATATCTAGTTCAAAATTCACAATTTACTTATAATTATTACCATGACTATATAATGGATAATTTCATGTTAGAGTTTGTGTAAGTGAGAACAGAGACGAATTTATAGTTTGGGAGCAATAGTTTATTTTTAGTTTTCTTTATATCATGCGCAAGAGTTAACATGTTATTCCGTTGGTGGTTCTATCAATAAATAAATAAGAGATTGTTTCGGCTCTGTCCAGCAGTGGCCCATTCTACGTTTTTTTACTATCGATCAATTGTTGCGCCTTAATAAGAATAACTATCTGGCGAGAGATGCCTTAGTACTACATTTATTATTCTCTTAAAATATCTTATGTTTAAACGAAAATTTAGAGATTTTGTGCGTGGCAACATTACTATTGGAAAAAATTGCGCGTTTGTCATGTTTGTCGCGACAGAGCATTAGAGAGTAAAATTAATTCAGGCAACGCATTAATATCGACGCTATCACTTTTGCTACGAAAATTTAACAATCTTTGGAATACAAAGGCAAGAATTGTAAAATTATGCAAAACATTATTACTATATTGTTCTCTTAGTAGAATATCTTAATGAGTTTTGGAATGAATAATATTAATTTGAGTATTTAATATCACCGTACCATAACATCAGGTAACCTAAAATTTCTTTTGGATGTTAATGTTAATTATCACGAGTTTCGAGACACAAACAGAGAGCAGCGCAGACCTCGACACGGAAAAATATATTCGCGTCTAAATTGAACAATTCCTTATGTCTACTTTCTTAAATCGCTCATCACTACGTATTTAACACACATTTTACATAGAAAATAGTTCGCTCAAATAGTGTCAATGACTTATTTTCGGCCTGTGAAGCGATCTTTGCTTTTGATCAGTGGATTAAATAACATGATCTTTACAAATTAATCGGATAATGTAATCGATAGATGAATAAAATAGGACGCGTATTTCTCCCAACAGGTAAATATAACAGGTATCTTAATATCACAGACTGTATCTGTTACGAACAAATTAAAATAAAAGATTTTTGCATAGAAGAAGATTGACATGCAACAGTCATAATTTCTTGTTGGTACTGCGATCGGATATAAAAACGTCAATATCAAACGAACACAGCTGTTACGGTACACAGATTATTGTAAGCTACACAGTTTGTTGATACATAGTATAAAATAACAGGTTGTTACTTTTTAACAGCTTATTGTCACTGTTATGATCAAGTAATGAACATTTATAACAAGTACTCGACTTTACCTAGTACAGCTCACTCCTGGAATAAACTAGTTAACTACGAAAAGTATTCCGTCGAGTTGATTGAAACGTGATACGGTTTTAATACGGGTCAATAATGCTGTACGCTGTAAAAATTGGATCGAGGCTCAACGTCTTCGCTACGTATCAACAAGTTTACAAGTTATTTACGAAACGAACTCTAAACGAGACTTACCCTCGGTTTCTTAAACACTGATCACCATAGATGTTAACTAATCAGCTGTCAAATGGCTTTTAAAATGTCATTTGAGTTTCCAAAAGGATGATTAAACTTTTTAAATTGATCATTCTGATAATTAAGAAGATCGTTCTGGTCAATACAGAGAGCTTAACCAACCTACGACGAAGTTGTTGTTTCGGAAAGCGGGCGTTACTGAATTGGTAAATTCTACTGAGATGGATAATATAATATATTAATTCGAAGCGACACTATTTGAGCGAGTGGTTTTGAGTTGAGTCTAAATGCCTTGCGTAAGGGAGTTCTCCAAGACGATATCGAACTCGTCCAGGGGCTCCAGGATCTGACGCAGGAAGGTGAGGAGTCCCCGCTTCCGCAAGAAGCTCTGCTCTTCGTACATTTCGGCGGTAACCCGCGTCAGGGACATAGGGACCAGCATCCTGTGCAGCCAGTGTTCCCTGAAAATAAAAAGCAAACTATAAACATATATATGTTACTAGCTGCTGCCCGCAACTACGTCTGCGTAGAACAGGCTGAAGGCGTAACATTCAGACAGAAAGACAGATATCATAAAAAATATGTATATAAATTATAGCCTATGTGTTATTCTGATGTATAAGCTATATTATTGAATTAAAATCCATTCAGTAGTATTTGCTTGAAAGAGTAACAAACATCCATCCATACATACAAAGTTTTATATTAGTATAGATTTTTTAAGTGGGACAAAATAAAAATTAGCATTTTTGGGACGCGTGTCATAAGTGAGATGGTTACGTCTATTAGCTCGGGTTAAAATATTGTGCTCACCTCAGGCATACGATGAGCTGGAACTTGGAAAATTAAGGCAAACGATGAATAATAATATAGGACTTGGGTTATTTGGTAAGTAATGTATATAGGATCTGTAGATCAGCTCATCTCAATGCGTCGCGTTCACCTCAGACTGAGGCATATAAGGAGCTGGAAATTGGGAGACTAAGGCAAGCGAAGAATTGGAACATAGGACTTAGGTCATAGGTACTAATATTTGCCGATCACTTTATCTTAATGTGCCGCGCTAACCTCAGGCTGAGATATACAAAGAGTTGGATCTTAGACGACTAAAGCAAGTGAAGAATTTGAACATAGGACTCGGGTGATAGGTGACGCGGCTATGCTACTTAGTTTAATTTAGTGTTACTGCGCTCAGCTCAAGCCGAGGCATATGAAGAAATGGAAATTGGAAGACTAAGTTAAGCGAAGAATTGGGACATAGGTTAAGAGATACTCTGGGGTGATAGGTGAAGACATTATATTGATCAGCTCAACTTAGTACTTCGCGTTCACGCCAGGCTGAGGCATTCGAAGATCTAGAACGTGGAAGACTTAGTCAAGCGAAGAATTGTAACATAAGTGAAGAGATTATACTGATCTGCTCATCTGAGTGCGTCGCGCTCACCTCAGGCTGAGGCATATTAGGAGCTGGAACATGGAAGACTAAGGCAACCGAAGAATTGGAACATGGGACTTGGGTTATTGGTAAAGCGGCTATGCTGCTTAGTTGAGCTTAGTGTTTCTGCGCTCACCTCAGGCTGAGGCAGACGAAGAGCTGGAACTTGCCGTCCTTGCCGAGCGCCCTGCCCGCCGCGTTCACCTCGTCCAGCAGGTGGCAGTAGCAGCGCCAGATGGCGCGGTGCTCCTGGTCCTGGCGGCAGTTGTACGCCACGCCGCAGCCGCCCCCGCCCCCGCCCCCGCCCCCGCCACCCTCCTCGCACAGGCTCAGCTTGAACTCGTCCTTCACGCGCGCTGCCGGAGACAATTTTTTTTATGTGAGAAGATGGCAAGCCAGCCGGCGGTTCACCTGATGTTAAGTGAATACCACCGCCCTAGGACATCTGCTACACCCGAGGGTTGCAGATGCGTTGACAACCTTTTGAAAATTGGGCTGCGGCCTCCTCACTCACCAGACGAAACGCGAAAGTGTTATACTTCCACTTTACGCCGGTCTTCTGTGAGGTCGTGGTACTTACCCGGACGAGTCTGCCCATTGGGGCTGCCATTGTCATTAGGCTCGCCAACTTAGAGCTTTTGGCCCCAAATTCAGGACGCCGATATGCATATCGGACTCTCTTTACTTTAAAAAAATGTCTGAACAATATCTTTGTGTACAATACGGAGATTTATTGGGGCTCTTGAAAATTGCCCTTTTTAGTTATCTTTTGATTCTAGGGCCATTTTTTTTAATTAGTTGGTAACACTGGCAACAGCCTTTTTTTATTAACGTACATTATACAGGGTGATTTTATAGACGACGGACAAATTAACGGAGCATATGCAGAATTTGATTCTAAATCTGAATCTGGTTCTGCAGTCTCAATACAATAACCTATTTACGAGCACTAAAACTTATCGCTGAACGCATAATTACTAAACTGCTTATTGAAACGGTAACTACTCTTAACGGGATAAACAAAAAATGTTTGAATTGATATTTTTCTGGTTACTTCTTGTCAAAAAAAAATATTAAGTTTTTTTTTGAATTATGGAATGCTCAATTAACATTATTTATAATAAAGTATATATTTCGTCTAAGAAAGCACCCTGTATATGCGATCAATAAAAATTTAATTGATCGTATACACAGGATGATTTCGTGTTAATTGAGCATTCCATAATTCAAAAAAAATATTAATATTTTATTTTGACTATTTAACGATTTTTGTGCATCGGATATTTACAATTTAGCAAAGCAGAGATTATAGTACAATTTAAGTGAGGGTTCGTGGAATCCGTGCTGTCGTTCCGACTCACCGAAGTAGTCCCAAATGAAGAGGTTCTTCCCGAACAGGCGGGCGGATTTGAACCCGCACAGGAACGCCTGCTCCAGGCACTTGACGAGGCCGTTCTCGCCGCACAACAGCACGCTTAGGGAGTTCGCATCTTTTTCGCGCTTCGATTGGTAGTGCCACTTGACTATTGCGTTGACGCAGTCGCCTGTCGGAATATTTTATGTGACCACAGGTGTTTTTATGTAAAACTAGCACTTTTAGAAAGAAATATAATATTTATATAAATAGTATATAATAGTATAATATTTATATAATAGTAGTAATATATATATATAAATAGAAATATTTTAGAGAGAAATATAAAAAATAAACTTGTATTGATTCGATCGCTGCTAAAGTTCACCTAGGATCACCCGCTAGGCTGCTTTGAAAATTTCATTAAAATTTATCCTTATGATTCGATAGCTACCAAACTTTAGGGTCTAGGATCCCAGGATCACCTGCTTGCGTGAGAAGGTGGCAAGCGGGCTGGCGGTTCACGGCTGCCCATGGACATTCGCTATGCCCGTAAGGTTGCAGTTGTGTTCCCATCTTTTAATAAAGTTGGCTCCGGCTACCTCGCTCGCCAGACGAGAAACAGAAGTGAAACACTTCCACCTCACCCCGTATTTCCCCGGGCGGCCCTGGCCACTGCAACAGCGGACCCAACCACAGGAGCGCGGTGGGGCTCGTCGCTCACCGATCATGTGCTGAATGGTGGAGGTGGAGAGGTGCGTGGCGGTGGGCGAGAGGGCGGGCGGCAGCGCGGCGGGCGCCGGCGTCCTGGGCGGGCGCTCGCCCCTCAGCCGCGCGGCCACCACCAGCCGCTCGGTGGAGCCGTCGTCCACGCCCGTGCCCAGCCAGCGGTTGCACGGGAACCTGCGGACAATTTCGAACGGTCAATTCGGCTGGACCATTGGACGGGAGCGCCCGACGCTTTCGCGGATTCGCACCGGCGTCTTCCCGTTTCGCATGCGGGAGCCGACTTCTTGGGGCTTCCGCGAATTTTTGTGTTTCATCACGAGTGTGAGTTTTCAGTCGGTGTCGTTACCACCGCGACAATAAATGAACACACGTCTAACGCTACTTGCCAATAATCGTAGAAAAATATTAACGTTAAAAAAATCCATGAATAAAAAGAATGTTTTTCAAACAAACTAATTAAGTAAAAAAGAAACAAAATTTGTAACATCCTATACAACTACAAGTGACTGATTCATACATTCAGAGACTTCTTCATTCGTTGTCACAGCGTCGCGTTAACAGTATGTTCTGTCTCTTTTAAATTCATACAACCCATTCATATGCTTTGTGACCTTTACAAATGAACTTTACGTTACATTTTTATAAGTAAGGATGTTATAAAATTCTTTGTTTTGGAAAAATTAATAACTCTGTAAATATTGATGTTTAAAGAAGGTAAATGTTTAATAAAATTTTAAAAAATTATCCTCTAATATGTGTGTTCATTTATTGTCGCGATTGTATAGACACGCTGTATAATTCGAGAAACTCAATCAAATTTCATCGATGTTTCGATGATGTCAACATCGACTATTAATTTTGTTTCTTAAATCATTATACATATAGTTTTGCTTAAATACATTTTCTGTATTCGGATTGAAGGATCAGCGAGTTCGAATCGTGCTCTCATCCGCTACATCAGGCGGACCAATCAAGTCTAGAAAAAGACGGCTGCGGATGCGCTCGCTCCGTCCCTCTTGCTCACGTGTATGTGTGGCCGGTGACCTCGTTCCTGACGAACACCTGGTCGAGAAGCCAACGCGGCGAGAGGCCGCTGTTGTCGTGGCCGATGCGCAGCGTCGACAGGATGCCCAAGTTCTTGTGCTGCACCAAACACTTGCCATTAACGGAGATAGATGGCGCGCGTGTTGAATAGGACAGTTCGTTAATTGAGGTCAAACTTCGAAAAAATGTTCGTTTAACAAATAGTCTATAATGGTTTATATTGACGGAGAGGGCGCGACGAACTGGACGCATTTGTGAGGGATTAGTCCGGTATAGCCCGCGACAGGAAGGAGTGGGAGAAATGGAAGGAGGCCTTTGCCCAACAGTGGGAGCTATAAGACCGCCTATTGTATTTCCTTTTACATTATTTTGTAATTTGCACCGTTTACGTTTTTGGTGTACAATATAGTATATATAAATAAATAAATAATGGACACTCACGTGGAAAACAAACTCGTTGGTGTTCCGTGGTATCGGTATTTTGGGGGTCGACTCCCCGTTCGCGCCGGATATCGAGAGCCAGCAGTTGGCGGTGGTCTGGCTGGCCTTGCGCGAGGGCACGATTAGCACGCGATACGGCAGCTCTGGAACATTCGAAGGTTGACCGTTTTAATCGTCTGATGCACAGCTTCAGGGTTACGGTGGAACGGCCAGCGGTCGCCAAATCTGATCGTGGTTATGTCGAACAGGACAATGTTTTCTTAGGGTTCCGTACCCAAAGGGTAGCGTAGCCATGATAACTCAGTTTCCGGGCGCTCGCCTTTCTTTCAATATACTCGAGCAACATGAGTTCGATCCCCGGTCTCGGCAACAATGAAAGTGTTAATTTTAAGCGCCGAATTATCACGTACTGAGCGGTGAAGGAAGACATCGTGAGGAAACCTGCATATTTTCGAAATAATAACAAAAAATATTTCGAAGACATGTGAAGTCCGCCAATCCGTAGTAGGGCCGCGTGATGGACTATGCCCAGACACCCTCTGTACAGAGGCCTTTACCCAGCAGTGGGACAAGTATAGACTGATACTGTACCCAAAGGGTAAAACGGGACCCTATTACTAAGACTTCGCCGTCTGTCTGTCGGTCCGTCTTTCACCAGGCTGTATCTCACGAACCGTGACAGTTAGACAGTTGGAATTTTCACAGATGATGTATTTCTTTTGCCACCAGACCCACAGATAGTTGTCTCGCATCTGGGTGTTTGTCTGCGTGAAATTTATGTTTGTAAAACGTCCTTACAACACAGGATAGTGTTACCCTAAAGAAACTGAAACTTGCTCACTGGTAGTGGGATACGTGTTCGTGAAGCAGTGGTAGTCGACCGCGTTCAGCGTGAGCAGGTGGTAGAGGAACTGCTCGCGCTCCTCCTCGCAGCGGAGGAAGGCGGTGCGCTTGTACTGGGAGCGGAGCAGCGTGGTGTCCGCCAGCAGCTCCCTGAGGTGCTTCGAGAGCAGCTTCTTCTCTAGCGAGAGGCGCACCCACGCGCGTGCGTACCCGATCTCCGTCTTGATGTCCGTCATCGCTTGCACGTTCCTGTCGGAAACGATTTGACTGGTCATAAACTGGTTGTAACAGGTTATAAATCGAATTGATCGAATTTTATTACATGTACAATTATCACATGGGTAATAAGACGAAAAAGCGAGAAAATTGGCGTAGATTTATGAGGGATAAATTCCAAGCATGTTTATCGTAGTACAGAAGGGCACCGATGGTTTCCGTAAGAGTTATCGGAGCTTTCTTAGGGTGGCCAACGAGGTGTTTTAGTGCATAAGAAAGCCACGTAACCCTATATTCCTTCAATGATATAGTATATATTGAAGATACCCCGATAGCAAACGATACCCATATAGCCTGGCCAGGTTAGTACCTACGAAAAATACACGGCTTCAGAGCATAGCAACTCAAAAGTACTTATACCATGGCATCTAATGACGTCGCACTAGCAACTGTTTGCGTTTTGCCACCGTCGACTGGCTCATCCGAATTTTCTCTAATAATAATATTTTCGGACGCAGTTTTACACAACGTTCTTTAGTCCCGAACTAAGCAACGCTTGTAGTATGGGTACTAGAAAACTGATAAATATACTTAAACATACTTTTCTTTTGTACATAAATACATATTATACATAAATAAAAACCGCAGCCACTGTAAAAACACCATGTTCAGCACACAATATCTTTCCAATAGTGGGGATCGAAGCCCCACCCACTGGCGCAAGAGGCAGGTTCACTTACTCCCCAAGACAATCGGGTCGTCATCTATCTTTATATATATAATTATTTTGTACATTTCTATGTCAATGAACTCCTCCTAAACGGCTGGACCGGGTTTAATGATTTTTTTTTGTGTCAGTGTTCAGGTCGATTTGAGAGTGGTTTAGATTCACAATTCGTTTTTTTTTTAATTTATAAGTTGTCGGATTTAAGTCGCGTGTACATGACAACGTCTGCCCGGTCCGCTAGTCTTTATACATATATATAAAAATTTTGTGTCACGATGTATGTTCACGATAAACTACGAAACTACTGAACCAATTTTTATCAAATTTTGTAATCATTCGTAATTTGGTCCAACTTGGTCGATGGGTAGTTTTATGTTTTATATTTGTTATTGCAAATTATTTGTTTATTAGATGACAAAGAGCTATCTGTGAGTCCCAAAAGACTAACAGATGGCGGTGTAAGACGTAGGCGCTATGCTAAAAGTAGAAACGTATGGACCCGGTAGAATTGGCGCAGACGAAGTTGCGCGGGCCAGCTAGTAATATATAAAATATGATCGGCCTTATTGTGACTCCTCACCGCATGTCGAAGGTGAGGCTCTCGGGCAGAGGGCGCATGGGGTTCGCCGGCTGGCTGGACCTCCTCTCCAGGGTGCCCGAGTTGCTGAGCCGGTCGCGGGAGCTGTCCCGGGAGCCACCGCGGGAACTGTCCCGGGATCCGCCCCCGCTACCGCTCTGCTGCGCCTCCACCTCCGCCCCCACGGAGGACAGGTCTGTGGGGGTACCATTTTGTTGATGGGTACGGAGTATGAGTAGGCCAACACGTTAACAAAAAAGTAGGTAATCCTGCACCGACGCAACACCATTTTGACGGAACATCCCTGTTCTCGGTCACGCCGGGGTAGCGGAATATTGCGTCTTCGTGTTCCGGTGTCCTCGGCTAATGTGATAGTGCAGGTGCAACGTGGGTTCTTTAGTGGGTACCTGATCTGCCCGGGACTCCCACATACCCCTGCCCCTCCCCCGATTACGTGGCAGTGGACCCATAAAGGGTACGGGTACTCCAAACGAGTAGACCTATGTAGTGTTGTGCTTTTCCCGAGTTTACAATGTGAGTGTCATCATTTCAGCCTGTTAGAGTCCCCTGTTGAACACAGGCCCCCACAGGCTGCCACGAAGCACGATCCCGAGTCATCTGCATCCATCGACTTTCCGCACATTTTCTCAGGGTTTTGTAGAGGCTCGTCCTAAAGTACGAAGACCAGTACAAGACTGCCATTCGAGAGCCATTATCTCCCGTCGGTTATCGGTTTTACGGCCAATTGCCAGTCCAGCTTACTAATCTTCTAAGCCATATTTTTTATTTATTTATGTGACAATGTGTTGTAGAAGCCTTACATTAGGTTGACCGCTTGGTCACTTGATATATTTTCAAATGAAAAAAAAAAAAAAAAGAAACAAAATGAACGACGGTTTGTAATAGTTGTTCAAGAACACAATACTTACAGTCCAATCGCTTCCTTAATACGCACCAGGCCAAAGCTGCATGTTTATAAATAATAATTTAATGACAATTTATTTTTTTTGTTATAATAATCCAGACAATGCTTAAATGAAAAATGAAGCAACTAACAATAAAATTAAAACGTTAGTTTATTTCTGTCTCGTTGATTTCAATGTTGATACACTTAGTTTAGGTTTGGGGGCATCCATTAATTGCTTTTGACAATTTTTTTTCGTAACGTTACACTATTTCGCAAAAATAATTACGTGATATTTGTCGATATCCCACGTGAGATTGGGTGAGATTCAGCCCCGTCACGTGATAAATGGATAGCCATTTCAGGGTGTTAGAATGGTAGTGGCCTGTTCTGATAATGGAACCCTCAAATGTTATACAACATTTCAGGGACCGGAGCGCCATCTAACGTGTGGATAACAGCAGTGACTTACACGCGTGTTTAACTAACATACCGGGTCTTTCTTACAGACTAGTTTGTAGTTAAATTTTAAGTGGGTTTTAATACGTACCGAGAGCTAAGAACTAGGTTTCAGTTAAGTTTTAGTGGGTTTTAATACGTATCCAGAGTTAGGAGCAAGCTTCTAGGTATATTTGTTTAGGGTACAAACTAAAGTGTGCCAGCTAGTGTTTTGCGTTCTAAAAGTACCTGGTGTGAGGTAATTGGGGTCGATCGGCTTCGTCGAGTTGCTGCACTGCTCCAGCTCCTGGTAGTTGGTGAGGTGCATCCAGAGCGCGGACTTGCCCATCTTGTGCTGGAGCCCGTGGGACCAGAGCCTCTCCAGGAGGTCGCAGAGCGACGCGATCATCGTGTTCTCCTCCACTCCGGTGACGGAGATCTCGCAGCCGAGCCCCAGTTCCGACTCCTCGGTGCCCATTTTCTCCACCAGCATCCGCTTGGTTTTGCTCTTGCACTCCTGCGTTTTCGACCGTTTATGTGGGACAGTGTCAGACGAGCCGGCGGTTCATCTGATGTTGAGTGATAGCCGCCGCCCATGGGCATTTGCAACACCCGTAGGGTCACAGATGCGTTGCCACCCTCAAATAAAGGGGGCCCCGGCTACCTCACTCACCAGACGAAACGCAGTAATGTGACGCTTCTACCTCACGCCGGTCTTCTGTGAGATCGTGATACTGATCCGGATGGACCTCCACATTCGTGCAACAGTGAACACTGTCGCTTGGCCCTACCACAGTTAAAGGCTTGAAGAAAAATGGACAACGTTTAAGCGCGCCTTGTACTTTAAAAAGGTTATTTACATGGCAACCAACGAGGACATAATCAGTTTCATCATTTGGAAATAAACGGTGGTACTTATGTATCAATTTTTAATATAAAATTCGACGTTTCAAAAGAACGCGCGAGCGTACATTTGAATAAAGATATTTTGAATTTCGAATTTTAACTTGATAAATAGAGGTCGAGGGGGTTAGGGGAGTGGGGAGGGGGTTAGTCAGGTTTTTTTTTTGTTTCACCTTGAGGAGTTTCTCGACGAATGTCCTGTTGTTCTGCGCAATGGCCGCCGGGGTCACTTCGGTCGACAGCCGCCTGCCAATGTCCCCTAGCAGCATTTCGGGCGGGCAATCCTTCACCTGCCACTTGGCGTTCTTTATACGCTTCAAGCTATTAGTTCTGAAACATCGGAGCGGATTAGCACGAGGCAGTGGGCGCCGACGCGTTTCCCTCTACGCATAGACAAGCACGGAAGCGGATGCGACGACACTAATGTTTGATGCAAAATGCGATTGGTTCGCTCTTTTGGTGTGCAAGTTGATGGTTATTGCGAACGCTGCCTGAGCTGGGCACTCGGCACTGCTGAATATTGCAATTAATTATTTATATTTAAAATTTAAATTTTTCAATTTTTATTAACACTAGATCGATTCATAATAGGCCAACTCGAGAGATATTTTGAATGTTAAGTATTATACTCATAAAATTAGTCGGTAATATTTAAAGACGAGAGTTTACTATTGAACATTTAAAGTAACTGTAAAAAACTAGAATGTCTTTATTGATTTAAGTTTTACCTTTAAAATTTTGAGGAGCTTTTTGTTTTTGGGTGTACATTTAAAATACCGGGAAAATAATTTAATTCATTTATTTGATATCTATAAAGCTAGGGAAATAAATAAAATACATTTAATATTACTATACTTTGCATTATCACGTGTAACATGTATTTTTTAAACTCATTCAAATACTGACAATGCTTACAATGTGTTTATGCTTTAAAAACAATGAATTTGCACCAAATTTCTTTAAACGTAAAACAAAAATATGGTTCGTTTCATGCAATGAAAAATGCATGCATTTTTATCCATTTATTTTGATCTAAAACAAACTAACACTTAACAGACAACAAATGGAATTTTGTAAACAATCAATACTCTCACACAGACTATAAATATCGGATTCATCAAATACCATTCAATAAAGCTCAAAGTTGTTTACCATTACACTACTATGATACAAAAATATATTATAAATAAGAAATTGTAATAAATATATTTATATGTTTTGGTAAAAATTTTGTCTACTTTAAAAAGTGAACCTGAAGATGTTACATCACTATAGTAGAAAAAGTTATAAAGAAACATTTTTTGAGCATTATTTATTAAATGGCTAAGAAGAGTATTGTTTCAATCTCTGGCCATACTTTTATTAAAACTATTTTTTATTTAACGAGTTCAATGTACTACACAATAAAATCAAATATTTCAAGTGAAACTATTAAGCTAACATTTGTTATAACAATATGTTTAGTGTGTCTGACATTAATTATGACCGTGCGGTCAAAATATATTGTTTAAAAACATTTTGGAGGCTGCAAACAACATAAGTCGTTATAAAAATAAAGTATAACGGTGCTGCCACATTATAATGTAATTCTTGCTATATGTCATATTATCATATTATTTATAATTTTACAAAATTCTCGATTTGATGAACTTTGGTATTTTTATTATGTAGTAACACCATTAGTACGTTCAACGTGTACAAAGAATTAAATTATTCGTGTTACAGCTAATCTATAAAAGTAAATGAATTCATTTATGCCTTACGACGACTACAACATGTACAAAACATGCAAACATAAAGACACACATGCTGCGTCTAACACAAATAATACAAAAAACATGCATTTTACGATAACAACATCTTGAATGCACATTGGAATTGTATTTTATCCAAAAAAAATACCACTTCTATGTCATATATAATATATCTTTTCTTTTACATTTGAAATCATATAGTAATTTTATAATAACTCCACATATATGTAGAGATATTATAAATACTATACTATAGTATAATGTTCAAGACTTGGTAAGTAGTAGTTATAGTTTTTGTTCCTTCGAACGAATATGAGATTCTGATACAAATACACAAAACAGGTAAAATATTTTTTTTATAAAAAAATTTAAACTATCATAGAAACTTTAGGATCACGTAAATTCGTTAGTTATTAAATATAAATTAAACATAAAATTAACCAATGTACGAATGTCGTAAGCAAACAAACAAACAAACAAAAAAAAGCTGGGCATATATCATAAATTGTTTTCTATCGTTCATTTATAACAACAATCTAAATAATCGAACACATAACACTACAAAAAGAAATGTAAATATTTTTATAACAAAAACTATATAAATTGCATTTCGTTATTTAGTACGTTAATGAAAAGCTGCTTTCAAATGACACAATAGTTAAACTTATAATTTTTAAATATTAACACTACATTGCACTAAAAGCGTTCGAAAATGTTTGTAAATAGCACCTTTATCAAGAATATTGAACAATAATTCTGAAAATGCGTCGAGTTAGAGAAGTGCAAAAAAAGACACCTTGATTTTTTTTTTTCAATAAATTATAAGAATTTTTATGCGTATTACCCTTAGCTTATTTTCTTCTTAATAGTATTTCTGCGAAATTAACTTTTATAATCCCGATCACATTAGAGCTATGGAAACCAAAATCCTAGATATTTTAACAACACAGTCTTGTGTTCTAGCTTATCGACAAGGATAATCTGGGGGCCTGAAGGAAGCTAAACCGACTAACAAAAGACACCGCATGCTTTTATTGGCCTGTTCGTGATAAATAGCAACGGTTCTAAGTCCAATAAAAGTAATGAACGTAACACAAACTAATATAACTTAGGTTGGGTGTGTCAACTCATTAAAGGATAATTGTTTTAAAAACTTTCCTTCTCGCGTCTACAATTAATATTTGATCAGTTCGTCAATATAATAAAAATTCTATGGATAAAACTGCGATATCGATTCGGCGAAAGGGCCGACCAGTCGGACTCCAAAATTAAAGAGTCGACACACCCCGGCCCAGCCTCGGCGGACGCATGAGGCTGCGGGGGGACTTGGTTAGAGCCAGGGGCATGCTAAAGCATTGCCAGGGGACGAGCAGAGGACTAACTAAGTCTGAAAACTGTCAGGTTGCCGTAGAAGGGTATGGGTAGAGTCAGAGGTATGCTAGGGGATTTCCAGGGGACGAACGTAGGAGTAGCGGACGGAGAAAGGCCAGGGGTAGACGGAAGGGTATAGGTAAGTCTCGGGAAAGTATTAGAGGATTGCCGGGGGACAAACATAGGAATAGCGGACGGTCGGAAAAGAGCCAGGGGAAGTTCTGAACACGGTCAAGGGAAGGCCTATCAGCGGAGGGGCTTGGGTGCAGTCAGAGACGTGCCTGAAGATTGGCACGGGAAGGTCTGAAAACTCTGTGAGGTGTGGGCTGCCACGGAAGGGGGTAGGTTGGAAAAAGTCAGGGCGAGCGGTCGGCGTCGTCGCACCTGCGGTCGCTGGTGGGGGGCGGGGCGAGCGCGGCCGCGTCGAGGCGCGTGGGGAAGGCGCGGTAGTACGCCGCACGGTGGGGCAGCCGCTCCCCGGGGGCGCCCACCTCCAGCTCCGCCCCCGCCCCCGCACCGCATGCGGCCCCCGCGCCGCCCGCCCACACGCTGTAGCCGCGCGTCGCCATACCCCCCTCGCCCAGGCGACGCCTGGAAACGGGCGCGGAACTGAGTGTCGGGGGGGGGGGGGTCTTGCAGTATCGTAATACACACTCCCCAAGTCTTAGATATGTACTCCCTTCCAAATTGATCTTCTAATGTTTGTATTTCTTGTAATCCTGACTGTTATCCAATTATCCAATCGAATCTTCAAACTTAATCACTACCTACTTCGGAGCCCATGGTGTTCTGGAGTACTTACAATATATCGAAATTATATAGGTTACATTGAATTTTAAACACTGTGGCGCACGTCCTAAGCGATTGGCTTCAACACCGAAGGTCGAGGGTTCGAATCCCACACAGGCCAAATATTTGATCCACAGGTAACTATTTCGGATCTGGGCGTTTGTTCCCAAGGAGTGTCGAAGTCAAACAGGCCGGCTGGTCGTAAAAAACCTATTCGATATCGTTAACAACCTCACCAAGGTATGATAAGGGCAGAAGAAAGAAGAAGAGAGATTGAATCTTCAAACTACCCTCTACCGTCAAGAGAAGTTTACAAGTGACGATTTCCACACATTTTGGTAAAAGTATTAAAAAAGATTATGTATTAAACAGTCGATAATTTGGCAAACGGCTAACTCAAGTATACAATAACCCAGCGTCAATATATCTCAGTCTCATGCTAAATGTTATTCACAAGCGTTGTTAATCATACAAATAACTGTTAGTACCATCCACCCGGGCTTTTTAGGGATTAAATCGCTGCGAATGAAAAACGCTCCTTTATACAAGTAAAATATTTCGAGTAAATTAAGGAAAATATATTACTTTAAAAACCCATGTCGTTTATGTCTTTAATTCAACATACTCGGCAACTTAACTTCAAATCCCTGCGTTGGCAATCCATTTTTAATTGCAACTTTAAGTACCAATCTATCACGTGCTCATCGGTGAAGGAAAACATCGTGTATCTAAGAAATAGTAATAAAAAATATTTCGAAGATATTGTGAAATCGTTATGGACCATATCCCCACTCTGTACAGAAGACGTCTAGCCCAGCAATGGGCTACTAATAGTATAGTATAGACTTTCTACGTTCGAGTTACACACGAGAACCCTATAATACCGAATCCAACTATTTCCCTACGAAAAAGAGACCAGACGAGAGTTTCGCGAGACACCAAACCTGGCACATGGGGCGTTTTACGTTCGCAACGGCTCTTCGGTCACCTTTCACACCACATACCTGACGGCCTTGATGCGGTGCTCGAACACCTGCAGGTTGACGTCGCAGTCGCCCCAGTTGGCCATGATCTTGTTGTCCACGAGCGTGGCGAACATCTGGGTCTCTAGGAAGCGCGAGAGGAAGGGCCGGTGCCGCTGCGGCTGGTCCGATAGGAACGACGCCTTGTCGAAATTCACCATGGACTCGCGCGACGAGAGCCACGATTCACGGTCCTGGTGAGTTATATATGTATACTTTAAGAAGCCGCAGCCCTAAACTTGTAAGAAGTTTAGGGCTGTATGTGCCGCGAAATCCGCGAGATTGACCTGTCCCGTGGGATGTCGCTCGTGGTGAGCGAAAATAGTAAAGGGGAGACGTAGGAGCCTTGAAGAACGCCGGACGTGAGAAAACGGGTCGTGGAGAGACTGCCCTATACTCGATACCGCGGACTCGCTCGCCGGGTGAAGGTGGCGAGCGGACTGGCGGTCCGCCTGGTGTTGACCGATAACCGCCGCCCGTTCAAAGGCAAAAGTCAAAAGTTCTTTTTTGTATGCGAGACTAGCGACCCGCCTCGGGTTCTTACAGGTGCAATGCTGAATGTTTGTTTTCGACATCGCATTAGAAACCTCTAAAATTACCAGTGTTTCTCTACTATATCATGCATTAATTATACCTATAAATCACTCTATCTATTAAAGGAAACCGCATCAAAATCCGTTGCGTAGTTTTAAAGATCAAGATATGGGGACAAACAGACAGCGGGACGACTTTGTTTTATACTATGTAGTGAAGGTGGCAAACGAGCTGGCGTTTCACCTATACATCAGCGTTTCCACTTATAAATAATAAATGAACAATTATTTCAGCACACATTTTATACGACGTTATCTAGTCGCAAATTAATTGAAGCTTGTACTATAAGTAGTTAGGTAAACATACTTTTGTAAATAATTACATATTATGGTTACATAAACACCAGGACACTATAAATACTATGTTAATGACACAAATTTCACCTGTAATGGGGATCGAACCCGCAACCTTTAATTTAAGAGATTTAAGTTTACCATCCTCTAGGTCAATCTAATATGTGTTAATGGTCATGACGAAGAATAGAAAACCAAGTGGCAGACGTACCTGGTCGGGCATTATCACGAAATTCTCGTACATGAGGAACATGTGAACAAATCTGTTGAGGAACGTTTCCCTGATGGCGATGTTGAAACGAATGTCCTCGTTGTATTGTTCTTCATCGTTCAGTACTTTCTTCTTCGTCGTCGGCATCACCGTGTCCGCATCGACGTCGTCAATGTTCACGCCTAAAATTATAAAAAAAATCTCATATTACCACTATCAGTATGTTATATAATTTTTAGATTGCCTCTTTCTCTCTCCCACCCGCTCTTTCTTTCTATCGCTCTCTCTCTCTTTCTGCACCCCCCCCCCCCCCCCCCTCTTTCTTACTATCGCTCTTTTTTTCTCTTCGTAATTCAAAACCGCGAGTCGACGATAGTCATTAGGACATTACATTGAACATGTTTAAAATATAAAGCCTATTTTTAGTTTTGCGTTTAGTTTACCCAAATGATAAAACGGGACCCTATTACAAAGACTCCGCTGTCTGTCCGTCTGTCAACAGGCTGATCTCATGAACCGTGATATTAAGTCAGTTGAAATTTTCACAGATGATGTATTTCTGCTGCCGCTATAACAAGAAATACTAAAATACAGAATAAAAAATATTTAAGTGGGACTCCCATACAGCAGACATGATTTTTTTGCCGTTTTTATACATAATGGTACGGAACCCTTCGTGAGCGTTTCCGACTCGCAGTTGGCCGGTTTTTATTATTACCTATATTAAAAACCGGCCAAACATTAAAAATGAAAAATATAATATTCAATAATTCGAATTATTCAAACTTATCATGGAAGCGTAAATCGTGAGCGACAAATTCACTAAATTAAATTCAGCATGAATGGGCGCTAAATCATTTGTCATGATCAGGAAGTTGTTTCCTACGTGATGATTAAACTTTCAGCACATTTTCGCGAATGCGGCGAATATGTATTATATTCTTATATTTCTTCTACCGTTCAAGCAATTAAAGGCATGCTAAAAAGAATAACGCTCGATACTGAGTTTATTATACTTAACTATGCACTGAGAAAAATATAATAAGCTAAAAAATAACGATAAAATAACTTTCTTATTTTTTTCATTTAAAAAAACATCGACCTTACTATGGAATTATATAAAAAAAACAAATAACGTTATTTCCAAAATATTTTTGTGTTATATGCCTGAAGTACTGACCCCCACAGTAGGCAGTTGCCTGTCTTACGGGGGATAAATAATACAATGTACAGTTTGATCTTCGGCCTGTAAATAAATATTATAATGTGTCGTGACTCGTGAGGTCTGACTGTGGTAGGACCACGCAACAGTGGTTGCACGAATGGGCAGGTAAGTACCACTACCTCGCAGGAGACCGGCGTAGAGTAGAAGTGTTACACTTCTGCGTTTCGTGGTGAGTGAGGTAGCCGGGGCCCACTTCATTTGAAGGTGGCAACGCATTTGCAACCCTACGGGTGTTGCAAATGTCCATGAGCGGCGGTTATCACTTAGCATTAGGTATACCACCAGGTCATTTGCCACTTTCTCACATAAAAAAGTATATACATACATTTCACACGGGTTACCTGTGGGTAATACTTGTAAACCCGTGAGAGAATCGAACCGGCGAAAAGAGGCGCCGAAGCTATTAACTTAGCGACTATGTCAATAAATTTCAAGTAATTTATTATTGTAAATTATAATAAATAACAGGTATTATTTTCGCATTGGTGTTCGAAAAGTGACGCCATAAAACTAGTTTATTTGTTGTGGTGAACATTTTTTACCACTGATATGAAATTAGACATTATCTCCACTCGGCGCGGGGAATAATTTAAATATAATGCGTTGCAAAACAAATTCTTTATGTCGTGAATCAGCAGTGAGATAACCACGCTTGTTTACGGATTGAATATCCGCAAACTGACGTCATTTCTTAGCCATTAAAGCTACAGTTTCTCCATTTTCTTTTTTCTTAGGACCTATTGTACTAACAAAAAACAAACATAAACATCATGTATTGTTATATATGTTTATATAATACTAATCGTCCATATAAATGTTGTTTTTGAACGTCATAACCTCCAATAATATTTATTAATCTCCTCTTATATGTTTATCATTGTATACAATTTAGTGCATAAGATGCAATAAAAACCGACCTTGCGTAAGCCAATGAACTCTATATCGAACATCGCTTGAATGCCAAAAACATCTTGTAAAATTATCATATTCAAATATTATCTGCTATGTAAAATAGACAACGATAAAAAATTTATAGGACTACTATTAACTTATATTTTTGAATTATATTTACAATACGAGTATAATGCGTTTACATTTGTGATGTTTGAAACGGCTACGGTGGTTGTGTGGACGGAGTTGAATAGTAAGTCCCGAAGACCACTGCGACCTAGAAAGATCTATTGTAGTCGTAATGTGGTCGAAAACATTACCCTTTAAAGGCCTGCCTCTTTTTTTAAGGACGTCTTACATATGTACATAAATTTCACATGGTAAGACACCCAGATCCTAAACAATTATCTGTTTGTCACAGTATGTGTATCTGTGTATCAGTTGCCTCGTGTGGGAATCGAACGCACGGCCCCGTCACTGAAGCCTTGGAAACTGCGTCACGGGGTCATCACTGGAGGAAATTGGTCGACTGTAATATTGCGTCTTAATTTTGTACAGCATTCGTATATCTTTTAACTTGTGCTTATCTCGCTTATTGTATTTTTGTTCTTAGATATTGTTTTACATATGTATAGTATATTGTTTTTGCTACGCTGTAACATATTGTAGTGCTTACAGCCATTATTAAAGCAACAATTCTGATTGTGACACATTGTACATACTGAATAAGTCTAAATTAAGTTTCCAAGAAAGCCCATACATGTTCCATAAAGCTTTGTGTCTGGAGTCAAGGTCTTCGGAGCATTGCTCCGGTCTTTGTCTGAGGATAAGGTTATAGTAAATTAGTTCGCAAACACCGAAATATCGACTGGGTATAACTGTTAAACGCCATTGAACTTTGTCAAGTTGATTAAACTGTAACGACGCTGTTCAATATGTAAATGGAGTTCGTGAATCAATAATGGTTCTCAGATGTTAATTTGTTAGATAAATTTAGAATTTGCTTGAAATAGCACGTTAACTGTTCAATATACGAAGACTTTTTTATTACATTTTGATGGAAAGGACTTTATTATAAGCTATGAATCATGTTTTTAAATGTGTTTATAAGATAGAAAAAAACTAACATTTAAAATTTGTAGACATCGCGGTCCTAAGTTTTATTTGTCTTTTAAGTCTACTTTAAAAAATAATGTGGTGATGTTCGACATGTCTTCTTTTATTACCTTCGCAGAATGTGGCTATTGGACTTTGTTAACTGTGAAAATATTCCATTCTATAGGTGAACTTCATTTCTTTGAGGCGCATTTATGCTTTGCATAGGGTTGCCAACATTTCCTCGGCTGATAGTAACATAGTACATATTAACAAAAATACAGTCTTTTATGTATAAAGCAACAAAAAAAAACATATTGTAAAGTTACGTTTCTGTAAAATAAGTTTTTAAAGTGAGTAGATTATTTGTTACTGGCTTTTCGCCCGCGGCTTGCTTTGAAGCTCTTAAATTAACATCTTTCTTTAAAAATATATACATTTTTTAAAGAAAGATATTTTCAACCCTTTACAACACTTTTTTCCAATTAAAAATTATGTCCTTTCTCAGGCTCTATACTATCTGTGTACCAAATTTCATTTAAATCGGGTCAGTAGTTTTGGCGAGAAAGCGAGACAGACAGACAGAGTTACTTTCGCATTTATAATGTTAGTATGGATTAGTTTAGGTGTTAAAGAATGAAGATTGATCTATCCAACTTGTTGTGTCTTTAGCCTATACCTATGTCTCTGTCACACGTCCGGGGATCAACGAGGAAGCAATATTCCGTGACCCCGGCGCAACTTTGGCCTTCTAAGGCTCTCCCTGGGCGTTAGGACAGTCAAAGCGGGTGAAATTATCTTATTTATTAAAAGCTTTCTCATAGTCCACATACGCTAGGCACAAAGGCAGACTATACTCTTCGGTCTTCTGTACAACCTGCCGCTAGGTGTATGGACATCGCTGGAGGACCTGGGTGCTATGCTCAATGACCTCAACAGTGTCTCCCAACGGGTGGGCCTTAAGATGAACATGGACAAGACGAAGATCATGTCTAATGTCCATGTCACGCCTATACTGGTTGTTGTTGGGAGCACTGAGCTCGAAGTTGTTGACGAGTACGTATATTTAGGACAGTTAGTCCGGCTAGGTAAGTCCAACTTCGACGCAGAGGTCAATCGGCGAATCCAACTCGGATGGGCAGCGTTTGGGAAACTTCGGCAAATCTTCTCGTCGAATATACCTCAATGTTTGAAGACTAAAGTCTTCAATCAATGTGTGTTGCCAGTGATGACCTACGGAACCGAGACGTGGTCCTTCACTGCTGGCCGTATGAGGAAGCTCAAAGTCGCTGAGCGAGCTATGGAGCGGGCTATGCTCGGTATTTCTCTGCGTGATAGAGTTCGTAACGAAGACATCCGCAGTAGAACTAAGATAACCGACATAGCTCAGAGGATTAGCAAGCTGAAGTGGCGATGGGCCGGCCATATAGCTTGTAGAACCGATAACCGTTGGGGAAGAAAGGTTCTCCAGTGGCAGCCTCGTACTGGCCATCGCAGTGTAGGACGACCCCCTACTAGATGGAGTGACGACCTGTGCAAATGTGCGGGAAGTCGATGGATGCAGGTGGCTCAGGATCGTAGTTCATGGCAGTCTATGGGGGAGGCCTATGTTCAGCAGTGGACTCAAACAGGCTAAATTGATGATGATGATTAAAAGCCAATGCGATAGCGTTAGAAAAAAAAATGTAGTGTTTTTGCATTCTACAAACTATTTCAAATAACAAATGACAGGAAGCGCGACCCTCTTAAATTCAATCTAACATGTCGTAAATTGGACGATTCTGTTCGGGAAGTTGTTGACGATCTAAAAAGTGGTGCGTATCATTAGCACAGCACCAATAAGTAGTAATTCAAACTAATTCCTTCCCGAACGCGCCAAAAGAAGAGTATCTTCGAACACCAAGCGCGAGCCGGACCATTAAGTATGAAAACCGAAAAAATCATGTCTTATTGTGTATGGGAGTCCAGCTTAAACATTTTTTATTCCTAACTATCACGGTTCATTAGATACATGGCGACAGACGGACAGACTGGAGTCTTAGTCATAGGGTCCCCCCCCCCCCCCTTTACCCCTTAGGTACGGAACCGTAAAAACCAAAAGAAGGAAAGAAAGAAAGAAAGAAAGAAGGAAGAAAGAAAGAAATAAAGAAACACTCACCAGTGCGCTTCACGATGTCCACGATCCGCTGCAGCGCGTCCATGCGCCGGGGCGCCCTCCGCGTGGGCGAGGGCGAGCCGGGCGGCGACGCGTTCAGCGGCCGCCCCTCGTCCCACTCCAGCACGTCATGGAACGAGTGCTTCCTCCGCAGCCCGCCTGCCGATTAAGGGCACATCTTCATCCTCTTAAGGTCTTGACAGCAATAGCACTGAATACTTTTTTCTTGATGTGGCAAACGAGCTGGCGGTTCACCTGTATTAAATAATAACCGCAGCCCATAGACATTTGCAACACCCGTATGGTTGCTAATACGAATGAGAACTTATAGGAGATACGAAGGAATGAGTACTTGGATGTCTGCCCAGTTCCTGTTGCATGGCCTACCACCTTACCTTTGAAACTTTGCCACGGAGTCATCACAGTAATGGTGTTGATAACTTTAAACACAATTTTATTTGAGAATATGGTTTAGCTAAGCCGGAACAAAATACTATGTTACTTAGAAAAATTGAAAACATAATATATTATATTGACTTCCTGATTTTAAGCGAATGTTTCAAATTCTAATCAACATAAATACGCGATAAAATCCGTAAACTAGTTTCATTTAATATGGATAATATATTTGAACATATAATTTTATAAAGTATTTTGGGAGAATTTCAAAGCAGTTTTTTTGTTGAAACTCACTCTGCATCATCTGTATATTGGGAAAAACTGTTAAACAACCAAACTACTAACATAGAAAAAGGGAATAGAAGAGTTTTCAAAAAAAATTCAATTTATGATCCTAACGACAATTAATAATACTAAAGAAAAAGTAAGTAAATGCTACATTAAAATTTCAAATTTAATTTTAAAGGTACAAATTATATGAAACAGTTGACAACTACAAGTATATATTGAACATTATTGATAACAACATAGCCTCATCATAATTTCGTAAATCTTACCAGATGGTAAAGTGCAGCTACTGCTCATACCATCGCTCATATGCTTGTAAGTGGTTCCGTTTAAAGGCACCCCAAGTTTGGTGGGTTCTGTCTCTGGTCTTTGGATCTGTTAACAACAATTGAGAAACAATTTTGACACAAGTAGAACATAATTTAAAGAACTAAAAAACCCGACTGCCTGTGTGTGTGTAATTTTTTTTAATTTTGATATACTCTGTGATTTACTCTCACAGTAAATTCGAATCTAACGACACCTCACAAGCTAAAATCCATCAAGCCGTTTAGGCTGCAGAGCGTGACAAACAACTATACATACATACATACATACTCTCGTAAAACATAACCCTCCTTCTGGCGCAGTTGGGTTATTTCAATTTATTTTAGAGTTAGCTATAAAATTATAATAATAACATAAATTTATTTCAAATAGTTACAAGCAATCGCAATAGCTATCCATAACTTTCAACAGGTAAGGTAAAAGTGTTACCTGGTGTTTATCTAAAACGTGATTCAGCTCCTCAATAAATGGCGTCCTGTGGGGAAATATCGGCAGTTCCTCTGGCAATTGTATGTCAGGTTTGTCGATATCAACTAAACAGAGTGCTGCCTCGGAGCCGAGAGCGAAGTTTCTAGGCCCATTCGGGCCAATGCTAATGGCCAAGCTGTCCGCGTGCAGGCCTGATATTAAAAAAACAGTTAAATAATCATTAAAATGTATCCGTGTTATTCTGGTAGCATTTCCAACTATCACTACTAGTTAAAAATGCCTGTTTATAGAATTATTGTCTGTCTTTACTGGGCACCGAACTGGATTTCAATGAAAGTTAAAATGAAACTTAAAATTGAACCATACTTTTCCTTGAATATTTTTTTATTTTAATATCATGAAGGATTCAGAATTCAGAATCGAAATCATCATCATCATCATCATCAGCCGCAAGACGTCCACTGTTGAACATAGGCCTCCCCCTTAGAACGCCACAACGAACGACACTTTGCCATTTGCATCCACCGGTTCCCCGCGACTCTTATGATGTCGTCGGTCCACCTAGAGGGAGGCCTTCCAACGCTACGTCTTCCGGTTCGTGGTCGCCACTCGAGAACCTTTACTCCCCATCGGCCATCAGTTCTTCGAGCGATGTGGCCTGCCCACTGCCACTTCAACTTGCAGATCCGGAGAGCTATGTCGGTGACTCCGGTTCTTCGGCGAATTTCCTCATTCCGGATTCTGTCGCGCAAAGAAACTCCGAGCATAGCTCTCTCCATAGCTCGTTGTGTGACTCTGAGCTTCTCTAATAGGCCAACTTTTAGAGACCACGTCTCAGTGCCATACGTCATCGCTGGCAACACACACTGGTTATAAACCCTTGTCTTTAGGCACTGTGGAATATTGGACGAAAAGATATCGCGTAGCTTCCCGAACGCTGCCCATCCGAGTTGGATTCTTCGAGTGACCTCTTTGTCGAAGTTGGACCTGCCTAACTGGACCGTTTGTCCAAGGTAGACATAATGGTCGACAACTTCGAGTGTATCGTTCCCAACAATAACTGGTATGGGTTCGACATGGGCATTTGACATGATTTTCGTCTTGCCCATGTTCATTTTAAGACCCACCTGTTGGGTAACGTTACTGAGGTCCCTGAGCATAGTGTTAAGGTCCTCCAGCGACTCAGCCATTATGACTATATCGTCGGCAAAACGAAGGTGAGTGATGTATTCACCGTTGATATTGATGCCGAATCCGTCCCAGTCCAAGAGCTTAAAAGCATCCTCCAATGCGGTCGTGAACAGTTTCGGAGAAATGACGTCTCCCTGTCTCACGCCTCTCTGCAATTGGATTGCTTTCGTGCTCTCATTATGTAGACGGATGGACATGGTGGCGTTTCTATACAAACACTTCAGAACTTCGATATACCTATAGTCGATATGACATCGCTGGAGAGACTGCAATACCGCCCAGGTCTCGATTGAATCGAAGGCTTTTTCATAGTCCACAAACGCTAAGTACAATGGCCGATTATACTCCTCGCTCTTCTGTATAATCTGGCGGAGCGTATGGATGTGGTCTATGGTGCTAAAGCCTTTCCGGAACCCGGCTTGTTCGGGAGGCTGGAAGTCATCAAACCTGCGTTCAAGACGATTCGTAATGACTCTAGAAAACAGCTTATATACATGGCTCAGGAGCGAGATGGGTCTATAGTTCTTCAATAGGGTCTTATCTCGCTTTTTGAAGAAAAGCACCACCACACTCCTATGCCATGCTTCTGGCGTGGTGCCTTGAAGTATGACGGAATTGAACAACTTCTGGAGGACTTGTAGTACCGGTTTTCCACCCGCTCTCAGAAGTTCAGTGTGTTCAGTGTGTTCAGAATCGAAATATATGACAATAATTGGTTCATTTTAATTTTAATTGTGTTTATAGTTCATTTTATTTGCCTTAGATCCACTAGTATGAAATTCCAGGCATATGCTGGCACAGAATAAAATCTTAATAAAAGAAAAGAAATGGAAGGGATACCTCATACGTTTTAACCAATATCATTGTATATACCAAGTTTTCTATACTGTTTTGGTTTATAGTATACATTCAATTACGTTATATAATAACAATAAATAATATAAAATAAATTACCCATTACAAAAGGAACAGGTGCATCAAGAAAGTGGTACAAAGGCGCTGGTAAAATTGGAACATACACATGAGCCCAAGAAAATGGAAGTAAAAGAGAGACTATACATTCCGATACCAGCATTAACTTGTTATAATCTGTAAAACGAAAAAACATATTATTGTGTTTAATAAAAATATTATTGTTATCAATCATAGCTTTGTTCAAAACACATTTTTGTAGTTATAAATAGATGCCACATTATATTGAATAATTATAAAGCAATTTTTTAAATTATTCTTGTTTAGTATTTAAGCATACAGAGGCAAAAAGAAAGTCAAAAGTCTCGAAAGTCAACATTACATATTATTTTTCTTAACAAAAATCATAACCCCTGTATGATACAATACGTAATCAAATACTGTTAATCAGACTTTAGGGCCAACCTGTGTTATGCAGGGAGGCTTTTTTAAGTGTATCCATTTTTTTTATTAAATTGTAGACTAGACATAAATAATGTTATACAGCGTGTCGTTACAACCGCGACACTAAATGAACACATATATAGAGGATATCCTCCTATTTGAATTTAGGCACCTTTAGAAAAGCCACCCTGTATATTTTAACTTTTTTTGTATTCATACAAATCACTTTTAAGTTAGAAACACCATACTTAGTTAATAAATAAACTCTTACCACTGGATCTAAGCAAGACTTGATGCTCCAAAAGCACACAAGTGAACAACTGTACTACACATTCAACACCTAAAGTCGAGAACATCACACGCAAAGGATAATCAAGAAGTGGTAACTCATCTGGAGGATTTGGCATTCTTATCACCTGAAACAAAAACTCATTTTAATTTAATGTTTGATTTTACTTTGACTTGTAACCCTCTACTATATAAGAAAAGTCAAGAATTATTTAATATGTCATAGGTCGCCTATCTTCTTCTTTCATCTGAGTTTATCGAAAATGCTACGGAAATTGAAGAAAATAATAATAACATAGACCTTGTAGAAAAGTAACGAAATAGAGCGACCAGTTAGAACTAAAAGCGGTCAGAATAAAATTAAGATTTCCATTCGCATACCCCTGTGAAGACGCATCTACATCGACTATTATTAGGTGTTCACAAACTCATTTTCTATATTCTGCATACCCACATATACAGCGTGTCGTTACAACCGCGACAATAAATGAACACGCATATAGAGGATAACTTTTTAAAATTATATTAAGCATTTACATTCTTTAAACATCAATATTTAGCGAGTTATTAAATTTTACAAAACAAACATTTTTAGAACACCCTTCGTATAAAACTGTAACGTAAAGTTCCTCTGTAAAGGTCATAAAGCATATGAATGTGTTGAATGAATTTAAAAGAGATCAAACATACTGTTAGAAAGAGAGACTTGCAATGCGACGTTGTGGTAATGAATAAAAAAGTCTCTGAATGTATGAATCAGTCAGTTGTAGTTGTATAGTTGTGTTACAAATTTTTTTACTTTTTATTTAATTAGCTGATTTGAAAAACATTTTTTTTAATTATGGATATTTTTTTAATTATAGACTTTTTTATTTTTCGGAATTTTTCCTTTATTTGTGCTGTAAGACCCCGCTTTTTCCCAAATTTCGTGATTCTAGATCAACAGGAACTACCATATGGGGTTTCGACCCAAAGAATGACGAAAAGTTTTTTGCTGTTGTGAGAATTGAACCCACATCTTCCGGATTTGCGCCCAGACGCTTTAACTACTAAGCTAATCGGCTTATTGCCACACCAACAAACATCTCAATATCTTTTACCTACATTGTTTTTTCGCGTTTTAAGCAATGCTTGTCAAGTCTATATCCTTTACAGCAAACAATTCACAATTCACATTTACATATACAAACATAAATCATATACATAATTTACATGCAGCAGAAACTAACATAACCATGGCAAAAAAAAAATTATTTAAGAGAATTAGTACTCACAACTGGGATTGGTTCTAGATGTGGTTCCGATGGTGGAACATACAATCGTAGGGCCTGACCAGGTAGAGGTACAGGCACTTCATACAACAAATTGTATACATAGGACTCTGGGCTAAGTCCAGGCCCTGGTTGCCTTGGCAGTGATCTAAATTAGTAATTAAAAAGTGTCATTCTTATAAAAGATAAGTAGACAATTGCTCAGTATTGATTCTTGTATTCTTTTTAGACCATAAGTATTTAGCATTTGCGTGAAGTAATCATTCAATAAGTATTAATATTAACACTCCAGTAGTTGCGCATTCTACAGTTGTAGAACGTGCATGCATTTTTTAAGATTTGAGCGCAATTTGAATTTTGTACACGCACACACTCACAGTATTCCTACAAAACTATCCAATAAACATAATCAGTGTCCTTGCTGCGACTCATGCAGCTGCATTTCTGAATTATTTCGCGCGAAAACTTAATTTCTACGATAGTAGAGCGCGCGACCATTCGCGTGACATATTTCTTATGAGCTGCCGTCAATGTTTGATGGTTGTAAGTATATTAGTAATGTTCTCTGGACATTGAAATGAGATGTATTATTTAGTTTAAGATTATTAGTATCTAAAGTGATTGTTTTTTTACATAATAATGGACTCATGGAGCATTGAACGAATAATTACTAGATGGTTGGAAGAGGAATGTTCTGATGACAATCACATAGAAGAAAGAGATTTTGAAGGTGAAGACTTTTTGTTATAATTACTAAACAATATGGATACATAACAGGACAGAAGTTTCAAAAAGTCCAACTCAGAAAATAATGCACTAGTTACTATGATTAACACGCTGGAATCAAATTGGATTCAAATTCAGAATCTGACGTTAATTTTCCGCTAAGTTCACTGAGAAATCAGTGCTATACATCTAAAAAAGATACAATGTGAAGAAAATATCACTATCCCATTATAATTACTCGTTCAAAGAAGAATTGGAAGTTTAAGGGCAAAATATGACCAATTTATTTTAATTTTTTCAAGAATGCTGTTTTATAGGTCCTACTTTTTTTGTAAAGAGAATTTTTCATTTGATTTGGTTTAATAATAAAGCTTTTATGAGTATTAGACAGATGAATTTTTAATACATCAATTTTTCGTTTGAAAACCCCGATTAAAAGTGTTCTACATAACTTGTATAAGATACAAACATCAATATATATTTTATGAACTTTATATGAACTTGAAAAATGAAGGTTTGCTTACCTAAATAAATTCTCTAAAAATAATTGTGCTACCCTAACATAGGGATATTGACATATAAGAGCTATGCTTTTAGCAACATACAGTTTATCTTTGGTTATGTCATAGTATGTCAGTGCAGCACCAGTGTGCGGGGCAAGTTTAAATGATCTAGGTAAAGATCTAGAGCTCTCTTTGCCAGAACTTTTTCTGTGGCCTGGTGGTGTCTGTCCACTTGAAAGTTCTGTGATATACATTGCCTGAAAATTAATAGTTTCAAAATGATTCAAAATCATGGTTGATTACGCTAAAAACCATTTTGTAAATATCTTAATCTTGTATATAATAATCAAAAACAATGTTTACCTGTAAAGTGTGCATTGCACTACAAATATTTCTGTTCCTAACTTCTTCGTAAAATATAAGGCTGAATCCATAATATCGAGATGCATTTTCTTTTGTGACAACAAAGCTATGAAATTTTGGTTCCAAGGAATGTTTCTGGGTACGAAACTGCAAGCCAGCTGGCAAACAAAGCTGTAAGAATGTTGTTGTAAAACAAGCTTTCATTATTAAAGAAAAAAAAGGTATACATTTTTCAAATAGCTTTATCAGTAATAATCACTTCGTATTTTAAAATTATGATACTTACCATACACACTGCATGTTCATGAAATGGATTGCTATGAATGTTTTCAGGATAGTGAGCTAAAACTTTTCCTTTGTAAGAACGATCTAACGGAGATATATGTAAATTGTCACCTAAAATAGGATTTCTTTTAGTAACACATTTTTTCAAAATTAATTATATTAATATATAATTAAATGTTCACCACAAAGTCTATCAGGTTCCAATCCAGAATCAAAGTCTAGTCCACATATCGCGAAATAATCAGCAAAACGACATCCCACAGATAAATCCGTGACAGACATATTCATATCGACCCGTTATTTATTTGAGACACTTTCTCTTCCAGCTACAGTTTTGCAGATTTTGACTCAGCATTGTTTTAAAGACAATGCACTTAATTAAATGGCGTTGTCCAGTTGAAGGTCACATATTACCGGATCAAGCGTTTATGCAATTATTATTTAATATTTAAGAAAATATGCAAGTAAACAAGATTATTTAGCGAATAAAAATCCATTCATAGTTCATTCCACCATTCTTAATCACACTGACATATATGTGACAGCGTTCCTGACACTGACTGTACTGACTGACATTTTGAAAGAAGGCTTTTTGGCTAGATTTGAACATGAATTAAATCTACATCATTTGATAAAATTGAGTGAATTGGTTGCTTAATAATAAAATAAACCTTATATTATTATTCTCAATTTTATTTCTATTACCTTTTTTTTTTTAATTTTTTTTGTGGAATGAAGTATCGGACTACTTCAGACTACTTCAAGAATGAAGTAGTCCGACAACGCTTTGATATACGACCCCTTGATATATGAACTCACGGGAGAACAACGAAGCTGGTGCACGACAACGACGATGACGCCCTCCACTCCGCTGCAACTTCGTGATCCCTGTAGCCACAAAAAGCTAGGTCTTACAGCACAAATAAAGGAACATTCCGAAAAATAAAAAGTTGAAAATTAATTGTTAAACATATCTACGACTAAAGATCATTTACAATAATTATATTACGTCGTATGCAAGTACTAGTATGCTAGTAAATAGGTAACAATAACAATAACGACTGATTCAAGAGCGACACGAAGATATATAATCAAATAATCCATAAATGCCGTTGCTCAAACACGCCTTATGTATATTTACTTCGTTTCAGGTAATTTAAAATAAAAAAATATGGAATTTTTGTTTTAATTTTATTTTTTTACTAGCTGCGCCCGCGACTTCGTCAGCGTAGAATTAAAAAGAAATCTAAAATGAAAGTAGCCTATGTTACTCCTTAGTCCTTATTACATGAGCTATCTGCCAGTGAAAGTTCCGTCCAAATCGGTACAGCCATTTCAGAGATTAGCCGGAACAAACAGACAGACAGACAGACAAAAATTGTTATTTTGGTATATGCACCGTGTATACATCCATATGCATATAGTAAAAAGCGCTTATTTTAATATTATAAACAGACACTCCAATTTTATTTATCTGTATAGATTTCTTTAATATATGCTTAAAAAGAAGTACGAGTAATAAGATAATATCATCCACCGGGAAGAACTGTAAAAAACTGAACCTAATTATTACGACAATAATATGATAAATAGTTCTTCTTCTTCTAAGGCAGTTAGCAGTCCATATCATGATATCTTCGTAGAGAAACAAGTATATTGAACTTCGTAGAGATAGGGAGCCAATTTTAATTGCTTCCTTGACACTGGTCAGCAATTTCATTTCCTTGGATAACACAGTACCCAGGATTCCAAGCTAGTGTATCAATATTCATTTAAAAATTAGTTTTTTTTTGAGTATATCAATCAGTTTTCTTGTATTTACAAGATTAAATCTTAGTTTTGTGTATTAGAATTAAAGGGTTTTTTTTTCAGAGAATTATCTAATTGATTTAGGAACTTCCGTTGTAATTACGTTGCTTTGTTCTTATTAGTAAAATAAAATAATTTAATATGTATACATTACTGTCATGCTGACTATTGTTTCTGAGAACTATATAAATTATAGCGTTGCTTTATTAGTTATCATTGGTAAAATAAAATAAATTAATTATGGTCTGTAAAATATACTGACTTTTAGATGCCGGTCGCTCCTGTTGCTCTTGGACCGGCGCTGCACTCGATAATTATTGGTTATTCTTACGACAATTAAGCAACAATAAATTATTTTATTAGACAATAATTGATTGTTGCAATAAAAAATATAGAACAATTTTACTTTGAATTATTTTAACGACTAAAAGATTTGATACAGTAACATTTCATAACATTTTATTGTTGTTTGGTTGGTTTGTGGTTTGGAACGATTTTTTTTTGTTTATAAATGAGTATAATGGATCAATAACAAATTTAAAATAATTTTTACAAATTACAAAAGTGAAAGAGTTAGGTCACTTCGTTTAGTAGTTTCTTATCTGCATTATCAATTTCAAAATTCAAAAGTCGGCTGTTTTAATTTAATCTTTATTTCGTTTCGTTAGATTAGACGTTAACATTGCGTTAACATCAATGTCAGTTTATGGGGTGTGGGTGTGTTTGACTGAGTTTACGTTTTGTAAAAAATAGTTTTTTTAATTGTAATTAATGCATTTATGCTGTTATGTACGTATTTGATATTAATTTTTTTAAACACTTGTTCAGTGTGTAGGGATATACAGTGAATATTGCATTATTATTGGTAAAATAATTTTGGCATCGTTTAAAGGTAATTAAAAAGCCCTTCCTTGTGATATAAGGATAAACTCGTATTTTATATATGAATAAATGAGCTGTATGAAAACTACAATAAATTGTTTAATATGTAAAATAGTATAATTTCTTTAAAACTTGGAAATATTGTTTTTGTTTTGATATTTGAAGATCTTGGATGTGTTGAAATTTTGGCGTTACTAGTTTATATAATCTTTATACATTTTATATTTGTTTTATTACTTAGATCATTTATTTCTTCTTTTATATAGATGATCACTCATTCGCCAACTAATTAATTGATTCCGAGAAATATTTAATGACTCATGAAGTATATTTGATAAAACCGATGGGCTTAAATGCTTGCTTTTATATAATTTTTTTTATACTTCCAAGGTTTTTTTAATATTGAGTTTTAATGATAAAACAAAAAAATATTTACTGAAAAATTCATGTTTTATTTCAGGATGCTTAGAGGAAGGGTGAAACATTTACTACATTGTATGTTTTTTATCATATTTATATTTACGTTTCTAGTATTTGAGGGTGCTATTAGCTTAGACAATGAAAAGAAAAGAGTTATTGATCCATGGGAAACTTATGGAATTTATGGAACAATTACTTTGTATGTTCTCAGGCTCTTAATATTATTAACCATACCTCAAGTTCTTTGCAACTTTGCAGGGCTGACATTATTTAATGCTTTCCCTGGCAAGGTGAAATTAAAAGGGTCACCATTATTGGCACCATTCATTTGTATTAGGGTGGTTACCAGAGGTGATTTTCCAAAGCTAGTGAGAGATAATGTTACAAGAAACATGAATACATGCCTTGATGTGGGTTTAGAGAATTTCATGATTGAAGTAGTAACAGATAAGGCTATCAGTTTGCCAAAGCATAGAAGGGTTCGAGAAGTGGTGGTGCCATCTGAATATAAAACAAAAACCGGTGCTCTATTCAAGTCCCGTGCATTGCAGTACTGTTTAGAAGACGAAGTTAACATCCTTGCTGATACTGATTGGGTTGTTCACTTAGATGAAGAAACATTATTGACAGAGAATTCAGTTCGTGGTATATTGAATTTTGTTTTTGATGGTCAACATCAATTTGGCCAAGGACTTATAACTTATGCCAATGAGCAAATTGTCAATTGGCTAACTACTCTGGCAGATAGCTTTAGAGTAGCGGATGATATGGGAAAGCTAAGGTTTCAGTTCTACCTGTTTCATAAGCCACTATTTAGTTGGAAAGGTTCTTATGTGGTGACACAGGTTAGTATATTTACTATGTAGCAAATTACGCTTTGTTGTTCTTAATTTCATGTATATCATACATAATTTTGCTTCAGGTTTGTGCAGAAAAGAAAGTTTCATTTGATAATGGGTTAGATGGATCTGTTGCTGAAGACTGCTATTTTGCAATGAAAGCTTATATGGAGGGCTATACTTTTAACTTTATTGAGGGAGAAATGTGGGAGAAATCACCTTTTACACTCTGGGACTTTATGCAGCAAAGGAAGCGCTGGATTCAAGGTATACTTCTAGTAGTGCATAGTAAGGAAATCCCTCTTATCAACAAAGTTTTCTTAGCAATATCATGTTATTCGTGGGTTACACTGCCATTGTCAACTAGCAATATATTATTGGCAACACTATGTCCTATACCTTGTCCACAGTTTTTTGATTTGACTTGTGGCTTCATAGGTGCAGTCAACATTTACATGTACATGTTTGGTGTGATTAAGTCATTTCCTATTCATAGATTTGGTCCTTTGAAATTCTTTTTGTTTATCTGTGGGGCATTGGCTACCATTCCATTTAATATTATAATTGAAAATGTAGCAGTCGTTTGGGGCGTTTTAGGTAAAAAGCACAAATTTTATATAGTCAATAAGGAAGTCAAGATCCCTGTGACTGTTTGATTTTTTTTGTTTCATATTTAAAATTTTATAGTCATTAGTTAAGTGCACAAAATACTTAATGGTTATGATTGAATGAATGTATTGCATGAGTATGAGAATTGAATGTTTTTCTTGTGTAAAATGCATTGTAAGTTACAATGTGGAATGAAAATAATGTTATTTTGTTTTACCAAAGAGTTTAAAATATAAAAGGTCTAACAAGTAAATGATAAAGTTAATTTTAAATGACAGGTTATAAATAATAAATGTTAATTATTATGCTATTTGTGGTTAAGTTATTATCATTCATTCCAAATTAAATTAATGTATTCATCATAATTATTTTTTTTCTGTTGGCAGCCGATGATAAAACACAAATGATAAAACATACCAAGCACAAATTTACACACTAATGTCTCTTTGCAACTTTCATGCAAAAAAAATGAATAACTTATTTTTTGATGATTCAGGTTTTGTAATAAAATTGATTGTTTCACATCGTTTTTTATAATACCAAATTATACATCTGCTTTCAAATTTGCCTAATCTTTTTTATTTTTGTGTAAATTTTGTCATATGTGTATTTCATAATTTTTTTTTACTAAAACTTTTGTTTAAAAAATCAGTTATTGCTGTGGTCACTTTAAAATAGTTTATTCCATGGCAATACTTTTAAAAACTGTTCTACTTGCAATTAGAAAATGGTTGATTATTTTTAATTTTGGGTAAAATAAAAATAGTACAATAGACTATAATATAGTATATTATACTCTATAAGGCTAGATTAATATGTTAAGAGCAACTACATATTAGTTTTTTGTGTTATTATATGGCCAAAAGAGATTTGGAATGTCTCATGAATATGAAAGTCTCTGCAATTCTTGTCTTCTCTTCTATATAATTTGGCTTGCCTTCTATGAAATTTGACAAAAAATATGTATGAATGCAAAATGTATAAGAAGGTTGACAGATTTTGTTTTGTGCTATACTTTCTCATATTTATTTTAAGTTCATCAGGTGAAGATATTATATTGAATTTTTGCCCTTTTATGTAGCAATCATTAATTTGATTATGCAAACAATGTCCTGAGGTGAAACTTAATTTTGATCTACATTTAAAATTGTTACATAAATAAAAAGTAAATTTAATTTATTTTTGTTTAATGTTCACTGGACTTATGTGTTATCATAATATTTCAGTATATATTTGTTTGGTGAATAATATACTTATATTTAATTGTAGTAGTTTATAAAAAAAAGGCAATTATTTCAATTATTCCCTTTGATCTCCATTTCATTTTATCAAATTATTAGAATTGTTGTCAAATTTTGGCAATGTCTTTGGAAATGACTATATGTTTTGTGTAAATTCTTAATTTATTTATAATATTATTACCTGCTTTGGAGGCCATAATGTTTTTGTTAGTAAAATAATGTTATTTTATGGGTTGTAAAGTTGTACTTATATTTGTTTATAATTATTAACTTAAATTAAAGAGTAGCTCAGAAAACAAGTCTGCATAGTTGATATCCAAAACAAGTTGTTTAATTCTTTTTTATATTCTGTTGTTTTCCTTCCATGAGTTTGCAGATTTTTTAACTAAAATGGGAGTATTAGTTAATGATCTTATATGTGCAGAAAAAGTAATGTCCATTACATAAAGGGATATAAAAATCATTATATATTAAGTACTTTAACTTTGTAAATTTACCTTTTGTAAGCATTGGCAGTATAGATTTTCGGAATTATTTGGTTGAGTTTCTTAGGCAGTATTAAAAGTCTAGTTTGAATCAGTTTTAGCATTTTTCTTGTAAGCAACATAAATGATAGAATTATGTACAAGACTGTTTACAGTATTCATTACGAAATTACGTTAATTATCAATGTTATGTACGATGGTGTCTTGATCCAGGGATTGTGATACTTCACACACTGTTATAATAAATTCATATATGCATAAAAAATTTAGTGCTTATTGTGCATTGTGTTTTGCCTAGTAATAATAAATTGAGTGGGGCCAACAATGGTACTGGCCTCCGAATATGATGTTTTAAGGAAACATAGTGTAAATATCACCACAGGTTGGGTTTTTCATCATATATATTGTAATGTAATGTATGTAATGTAAACGATAAAATTTTTATCCTTATTTGAATACCAAATGAAACTTGACAATGATAGACCTTTTATCGTTTTTCATAGTGAACATTAACTAACATTATGTATCAGAATTTGGAAAACAATATTTATGAATAATCAACATTATATATACCCTATTAACAGCAAAGCCTAAGTTAATATTTTCAATACTAATAAATTGCAGTTAAATTTCCTGAATTAAACAATCTTTTAATTAGTTTTTGCTATTTTGTACCTGATCTTCAGAGTTCAGTCTTTGTTTATCAGAGACATGTAGAGCTAGGTCATGGATGTATTTGTAATATTCAAGAGTCACAGTGTGTAAGTTAGGTGAACATGTTTATGATTTGATATAGATTTAATAATTTATTGAGAGAAAATTGTCAATAGTTGATTATTTGAATGTGATTTAATTTTGTAAGACCTTAGTATAGAAAGAAGAAAAGCGTGTAATTATTAATAATGTCTTCTTTATTAAAAATAAATCTTCGAGTGGAATTTATTTTTAATAATCATGTTTATTTTTTTAACCCTCGGTCATAGACAATACTCTTATCAGAGGTTATTCTCCCTGATTTCGTTTTCTACAGACATTTGATAACTTCAAGCAAATCAGAGCATTAAACAAATTTTTTAGATCAGCAAACATAAGAGTTAGTGTTCATATATAATAAAAATTAAACATTTTTAAGGAATAAATTTCAGGCAAAAGGAATTTAGATAGCTGCAACGAAATGTTTAAAACTGCATAACTTGCAAAAGTAAAGTAACAGCTCATATATGTCCCACTGCTGGGCAAAAGCCTCATCTGTACACAGGGTGTTGGGCAAAGTCCACCACGCGACTCCACTGTGGATTAGCAAACACATCTAAGAATTTTTTTTTTGTTATTATTTCGGTATTTTCCTTCACCGAATAGCACGTGCTAAAACAGCACTTAAAATTCACAATTTCTTTTGTGCCGGCACCGGGGATCGAACTCCGGTTGCTCGAGTGTTTTGAATTAAAATCGAGCGCCCGGAAAATGAGCTGTTACGGCTCAAAACTTGCAATCTCGTCATTAATTATTTTAATAAGTAAAAACTTCCTTCGTATAATGTTTACTTCTTATAATGTAAGGAAAAAATATTTATGCCTGAAATAACATTTTCTACTTTTAAGAGACGTAATCGAGTAGTCGATTTACTAGATGATCGCCCTGATTAAAAAAAATGTGATGTGTGAGAGACTCGCACTCTTAAAAACACTTTAAGAGTGCGAGTCTCTATACCCTTTTTAGCAAGATGAAATTCATGCCCCAGTATAATTTTTTGTTATGCGAGAAGGCCGAATGGACGGAGAATGGACATTTGTAACAACTGTAGGTTTGTAGATGTGCTGCAACTTTTTAATAATGTGGGCCGCGGTTACCTTCATTCGCCAGACGAAACCCAGAAGTGTTACTCTTCCACTTCACGCTGGTTTTTTTTTAAATGCCCTTACTATAGGACAACATCATCCTGTGTTGTAAGGATGTTTTACATACGTAAATTTCACATGGGAAAACACCCAGATGAGGAACAACTATCTGTGGGTCACACTATAATTGTCTCGAACCCACGACCGTCGGGGACTGCGCCACGGAGTCATCGTCATAGAAATATAATTTCTTCACACCTTACGTCGACCTCCGTGTGGACGTAGTATTTCCTTAGAAAAACCGGGCCATACATAAAACAGCCGGAGCTGCTGAGTGGACCTCACACAGTAAACAACTGCTTGGTTATAAAGGCCAGTCATTCATATTCTAATAGGCTAACGATGTTTTATAGCTTCACTACATAGTATAAAACAAAATCGTCCCGCTGTCAGTCTCGCCCTATGTATGGTTAGATCTTTAAAACTACGCAACGAATATTGATTCGGTTTTTTTTAATATGTAAAGTGATTCAACAGGAAGGTTTACATGTATAATACATTGCACCCGTGCGAGGCCGAGACGGGTTGCTAGTATTTACCCTAATGTATCGTCGCTGTTAAATCTCTCGCAGACAGTGTTAGTAGGACATTGGAATCTGCAGATGGGTAATTGTTAAAATATGTATTGATTGATACTTATATGATGGTTATTATGTTGATTTAATAACACCTTTGAAGCGTCCTATGTAGGTTAAGGAGAAGAGCAGTGTAAGTACTCAGTCGATGTTGTGTGATGATAGTGTTATGAATTTCCCAATGAGTCAATTTAGATAAGATAATCTGACACGTCTGAGCATCATAGTTGTAAAATTCCACATCAATTAGTTAAATTATAGAAGTGTTCTTTATGTGAATTAGATTATAGAAGTGTTGAATAATAATTAATTGAATTCAACTCTTAAGTTTAAACAATAAATACAATAGAAACAATATATATATTTACATATTTAATTAATTTTGGTAGCGCAGTTTACAACACAAACGTTACATTAAGCCTTTATTGCTGAAGAAGTAAACACAGTACAATCTAAAAGTATTAAAAAAACTTAAATCTAACACATCGGGTTTTCCGGTTTAGTGATCAGCGTGTCCTGTGACACATAGGCCTCTTCCAGCTGTTCCACTCATTTTTGTCTCTAGCTTTTCTAGACCAGGGAGCGCCTCCAATATTTCTTATGTGCTCTATCCATCCCTTTGCCCCTCTTCTCCTCCCATACGTCAAGCAAGGCAAGACGCATGAATTGAGGACTTTTCTTTTAGCTGCCATGGAAAAGTATTTCCTTTTGAGTATCTCCTTGAGTGACCAATATATTTTCCATGCCCAAGCAACTCTTCTTTCGATTTCCAAGTCCGTTTGATCTCTGAATGATATTAACTGCCCCAGGTATGTGATCATCTTCACGTATTCAGTTAGTTACTA